TTCTTCAGACGTGATTTAGTATTATTTACTTCAAGTTTGGAGGACTAGAAGTAGGACACCCTGAGAGTCTGATTTGATTTGATTTGAATCTTAATTGTTTTGTAAATAGTTAAATAATGTCAATGAATATTCAGTATGGTTGCATAAATAAAAATAAAATCAGTTTTTCTCTTAACAAATTTACTTACAGTGATAACTAGAGAGCTCTGGACTTGGAAGACGACTTTTAGAGTCAAGTTTTAACTTTAAAAATAACTCCAATTTACAGCAAATGTCTCCTAAGCATAGATAAATTAAATTCTTAGATGATTTCACTGATTATAGAGGCGAGAGTGACGTCATATGAGGATTTTATCTATCAATGCCAACGAGACTTTTCCCGTACTCGAAGCTAACTTCTCTTTGTAAACATGGTTTACAAGTCTTAGAATCCATTCCATTTTTATCTGGATCAAGCTCATCAACATGAAATCAACAATTACTATTTTTTTCGAAAATGACGAACAAATTACACTTTCGGAAAATAGGTTGTTTTTGGTAACAACTTAATGGTGAACATTTGAGAATTTGTGTATTGAGAGGTTGACGTTTTGCCCCTTCGATTCGAAACCAAATCCGGGAAGCTAAAATGTTCCGGATCATACAGGGTGTCCCACGAAAGTTGGTCAATTATTTGAATGTCTTCTTTAATATACTGTATTAGATATTAAAACCTTTTGCAGTTTATTTCGTTGTAAAAAATTCTTCCACTCGTATATATTTTACTTTGAAATTTATTTTACGGCCATATAATATGTTTTATTATTCTCCTAGATATTAAACAAGACAAGAAATTATGGAAGTTCGACATTTAAAATTATTCACGCACCTCTGCCCCTGTAGTAGTAAGAGTAAATTCAACCTATATGAAGCATAAAGTCTGACCACGTCAACCTTGTTGCACCGGCTAGTCCTGGCCCTAGAGCTAGGTACAGTACAAACTGGGACCGGAAAGATTGACCCGGCTCGAAAATTAAAATGTACTATAGCTGCCCGTGTATTCACCAACTGTCATGTCTCGTGGGACACCCTGTAGTTACTACAATTTTAGTTTATAACAAAGGGACATTTTTGGACTTTTGGAAAAAACAGACTAATGCAATTTGTAAAGTGGGATCAGTTTCAACCAGTCATGATGCAATTTTTACCCATCTGGAAGCAATCGAAAATTTGATAAATATTGAGTTTCCAGATGTTGCACGGCAAAGCACTGGCTCATTTATAACTTAATTTTTACAATTTTTTTTTTTTTTTTTGACATTTTATATTTTGAATTTTGGTTTTTCTTAGATTATATATTCCATATGAAGTACAAGACACGTAAAACCTAGGATGATCATTTTAGGAAAGTAATTGAGTCTTGTTTAAGTTTAATGGGTGAAGGGCTTTATGAGCCAGTTGTGACTGTGAGCAATGAAGAACCAGGAGCTACCGACCATAGTAGTGAATGGACTTAGTCCTAGAGTCTATGTACTTTTTAGTCATGGTTTATATTTTATAAAATGACAACAAATTATTTTTATTCCATTAGAAATACATTTTAAAACAACGTTTTTTTTCTTAGCTGGTTTTCTAATGAAAATTTCTGAATAAACTACTACCATATAGTGGTCATCTTAAAACAGAGGATTTATGCAGTCGTCTTCGTACTTTCTTTTATTTCAGAATTGCTCATGGATTCGGAATTTTTTAGATATTTAGTTAAAAAATACACAATAATTGGCAACATTTATAACATACAAAAGAAGACGACAATCTTTCCAATGTATTCTGGTCACCACTGTACATTTAATATTAGGGTTAATAAATATACTGTGGAGAGATGTACATATATCAATATCCATCAATATCGGCTGTTTTTATATCATTTTCTGCAAAACTTTCACAGCTTTTAGCTGTTATATCATAACTTTGTTCACAACTTTAAGGATTACAGAGAGGTAATTTCTATATTTTCAGATGAGTAGCAGCATAGATACTAGTTTATCTATTTTCTATTTATATTTTGTGGAAAAACTTGTCTTATTATAGACTTTGTTCCTAATTTCTCCTTAAAAACAAATTAGATTTTGAACCAAAAATGACATAGTTTTCTTTCTTTCAGAATGTTCATGGCAGCCATTTTGTTCGTGAGGGCAACCATTTTGTTAGTGAGGGCAGCCATTTTTTCTTTTGTTTAGACATTTTTTCTCCTTTGATATAAGACAACAAGTTTCTTAGTGAAGAACAGGATCAATACACCTGAAAATAAAAAATTAATTAATTTCATAAATCTTTTCAAACCCCTTTATTGTAGAAATCTGATAAGAAAAATGATCAATATTGAATCAATTTTACATAAAACTTTCAAAAAGAAAATGATGAACTTACCCCATGTTAAAAATTACACCAATTTTAGACATAAGCTTTTTTATAAAATTGTAGAATTGGAAACCGGAGTTTATAAATGATCTGTACATTCTGCTTTATTGGTTTATATTTATTCCCAAGCTTTCTTTCTTCTTTAAGAAAAAATATATATTTTCCAAGGAATTCTATTTATGTTTATTTCTCACAGCTACAGTGAGACATATTTAACATAAATAGGAAGACGACCCATATATAACACCCATATAATAGGAAGACGATATAAGTATCAATTTCAGGCACCCACAAAGATTGAGACTGCAAAGACGAACCCAAAACTCTAATTTATGACGATTCGAAGCTTGATTTTTGGTTTCTGCATTTAATTGAGTATGTTGATGGTTTACTAAACGAATAAGCAAAATATAAACCATTTTTGGCCTACAAAGAAGCCGGAAAGCGTGAAAACGAACTAAACAAATTCAGTAAAATCGTCTTTGAAGTCTCATCTTTTGTGGGTAAACCTGTAGCAAATATTTTTTGAAGTAACTTGAAACCAAGTGAAATGGTTCTATTTACAGGGTATTCACTGTACAGTGTACAGGGTATTCACTGTACAGTGTACAGTGCACTGCACAAATGATGTGTTTTATGTACTAATTATAATCATAACTTGAGTCATTTTCCGCTATACTCCTTTAAGCATCATTAATAATTTTTAAAATTTTTTTTCTTCAGATTTATAGACCTAAGGTCGGTATACACAGCATCCTATATATAGACCTAAGGTCGGTATACACAGCATCCTATATATAGACCTAAGGTCGGTATACACAGCATCCTATATATAGACGTAAGGTCGGTATACACAGCATTCCTATATATAGACCTAAGGTCGGCTACCAAAGCATCCTAATAATAAACCTAAGGTCAGTTTACAAAGCATACTTTTAATGGATCTAAGGTCGGTATACAAAGCATATTATTAATGGACCTAAGGTCGGTTTAAAAAGCATACTATTAATTGACTTTTAAGTTCGCTTTTCAAAAATACCATTAATGGACGTTAGGTCGGTTTACAAAGCATACTATTAATGGACCTAAGGTCAGTTTACAAAGCATACTATAAATGGACCTAAGGTCGGTTTACAAAGAATACTATTAATGGACCTAAGGTCAAACTACACTGCATTCTTTTAATAAACCTAAGGTCGATTTACACAGCATAGTATTAATGGACCAAGGGTCGGTTTACAAAGCATACTATTAATGGACCTAGGGTCGGTTTACAAAGAATACTATTAATGGACCTAAGGTTGGTATACAAAGCATACTATTAATGGACCAAAGGTTCGTTTACAAAAAATGCTATTAATGGACCAAAGGTAAGTTTTCAAAGCATCCTATTAATGGACCTATAGGGTCAGTTTACAAAGCATACTATTAATGGACCTAGGGTCAGTTTACAAAGCATACTATTAATGGAACTAAGGTCGGTTTACAAAGCATACTATTGGACCTGAGAGTGGTTCTGTATGTTGTTCTATAGAAGGTTTTATAAACAGGAACTAAGGGAGCAACAACAGAGCTAAAAAAAAAATTTAATTTAATTTAAATAAAAAAATGTTTAAATAGGGACTGTAGACGTGATTTCCTGTGACCCTTAAGTTATAAAGTGGCATGTCCGATTCACAACGGGACCCTTTCAACCTTTCTCTGATCAAGGATGAGTAAGAAATCCTTATTTATCGAAATGAAAATAGTTTTTTTCAATCGCGTTTTTTCTATGTGACTTGAGAATAAATGCTTTAGAAACACAGAATGAAATTAACAGATTTTTAGAAACACAGAAAGAAATTAACAGATTTTCAATATTTATTCAGAGAGAAAACCGTCAATTTATTACTAGTTGTTATTCAGATAGAGGAGTTTAATGGGTACTGTGAAGAATCTGACATGTCACTGTAAAAATACACTTGAAATTAAGTCCCTTTAAGTCCAAATTAAGTCCCTTTAAGTCCAAATTAATTCCCTTTAAGTCCAAATTAAGTCCCTTTAAGTCCAAATTAAGTCCCTTTAAGTCCCTTGTTTACCTGACGGTCACAACTCTTTTGTAAGCTTGTCTCACGGGTTCTTTTACTTTACTGTACTTCTCACAGATCCTGAATATTTGATTAATGTTAGAAACTATTTTTTTCTGCTTTTAAGAATTGAGTTTTTGTCACAAACTCTGATTTTCTAATCTCTATATCTTTACAATACAATGACTGTATAATCCAGTATTTGTTTTTTGCTTTAATTAGCTTGTGCAAACTGTATAAGAAAAAGAGCAAAATTTATGATGAGAAAATAATAATTAAAAAATCCATAAAACTGCGAAACTGTCTGTAAAGCTCATTTTGTTCAAATTTTCAGAGAAAAAAGGAATGAAATATAAATGCAGATTATGGTAATCTAGATTTAATGTTTAAGTAATCAGACATACTCTACTTTTAATACCATTTTCAACAATAAAATCTAGGTTTTTCGTATTTAACAATTTTAATTCTTTGTTGAACTTAGCGATCCAATGGTTGAAAGCTGTCGTGCAAATATCTATGCGAATTTTGCCACTTACTTAATAAAAACTAAAATGACCTTTTCTGACAGAGCTCTCCGTAGAATCCAGCTTGGCATGTACATTTGTTAGCAGATGTACACACTCCTCCGTTGCGGCATTTTCGTGTACACGTGGTGTCTCCGCAGTCCACACCACTAGAATATGACATTTTTATCATTTCATAATCTCAGAAAAATTTCGGAAAATAAAATATTGCTGAACATTTGATTATTGTTCATTAATCTACTTAATTTGTTATTAAAATTATCATAAATGAAAAGCAAATTAAACTTAAACGGACATTTTTGTGTTGATTTGTCAGAGGAGAACATTATAAACCTATTTATCACGCTGCAGCAGCAGCAGAAGATAAGAAAACGGTAATGGCCATGGTGCACAATGTATGAGAGGAAGGGCTATTAAGTACACTGTACATGAATGTCTATACAGTGTACACTTTATATGAATAGTACACATACTGTATGGATTGGATGTTGTGTAAAATGTACACGAATGGTTATTGCTTTCAGTTTATTTATAAAGTATACACAGTATACACTGTGTAGTGTGTAGTGCACATGAATGATTATGGCGTACAGTGTACATAAATGAATATGGTGTACTGCAGTGTACATAAATATTACCTGAACCCGTGTAAACAAGCGCACATATTCTCTCTAATACATGTTCCTCCGTTTTTACAAGATTTCTGGCACAAACCTGACAATAAATAATTAATTTCTTGATTAAACCAAACCAAACTTTTACCAGATCTAATGGAGGTGGGNAATTCAGACTTTCAGTGTTAGAATGTCCTTATAGTGTTCAAGTATGAACGATATTGATTGGAATAGATTAGAATATATATTTATAATATAAAAAATTATTGTTAGATATCACAAAAAATTTATTGAATTTTTTTCTATTGTTTACAAAATCTGAGAAACATTTTGATTAAATTTTTCTTTTAATTAAAATTCCTACTTTTTTGACAGAAGTTTCCTGTGAATCCTGGTGCACAGGTACAGATAAAAGGTGCTGAACATCCACCTCCGTTCTGGCAGGCTGGATGGCAAAAGGCTGAACACAAATTTAAAATCATAAAATTAGTAATTTTGATTTTTGATTAAAATAAAAAGAACATATTAGTATATTTCTTAAAGGCAAAATTATAGTGTTGGGGCATGCCATAGTTCGATAGACATGTCATAATAGACAGGACATTTCATAGACTGGACAATTCATAGACAGGACATTTCATAGACAGGACAATTCATAGACAGGACATTTCATAGACTGGACAATTCATAGACAGGACATTTCATAGACAGGACATTTCATGGACAGGACATTTCATAGACAGGACATTTCATATAGACAGGACATTTCATGGACAGGACAATTCATAGACAGGACATTTCATATAGACAGGACATTTCATGGACAGGACATTTCATAGACAGGACATTTCATACAGACAGGACATTTCATGGACAGGACATTTCATACAGACAGGACATTTCATGGACAGGATATTTCATAGACAGGACATTTCATATAGACAGGACATTTCATGGACAGGACAATTCATAGACAGGACATTTTATATAGACAGGACATTTCATGGACAGGACATTTCATGGACAGGACATTTCATAGACAGGACATTTCATAGACAGGACATTTCATGGACAGGACATTTCATAGACAGGACATTTCATAAATAGGACATTTTATGGACAGGACATTTCATGACAATTCATGACAGGACAATTCTCGATATGACACTTCATAACTGGACATTTTATAGATAGGACATTTCACAGATAGGAAATTTTGTAAAAACGGAATTTCATAGACAGGACATTCCATTGAAGCTATTTTGCACACAGAAAAGCAATTTTAATAAATAAGTTCCTTCAAAATTTTAAATTATACAAAAAACCTAAATATGCGTATTTGCGTATACGCAAATATCTGAATAGAAATCGAGCAGAAACCGATATATAAAGAGATAATGTAATAATACAATTTAAAAATTATAGCTGCAGTAATCTTCATAGAGAAAACAATTCCCATAGATTCGGACTTCTTTGTTAATGAAATGTACAACATCTATTCTATTTATATTGTACGTTGAGTAATCTATTTATATTGTATGTTTTTGTAAATATATTTCAGTTTACACTTTGTAAATATTTTTCATTAATGTTTGATTCACCTGTCTTGCATCTGGCTCCTGTATACCCAGAATTACATCCGCATACATCCGGTTGTACACATTTACCCTGTACAGTGTACTGTGTACAATACAAGGTTGTTAATCAAGGTTAGGTTAGATACAGAGCGTCCCATATCATATTAGATTATCTCCAAGTTTCAACACCAAAATAAACCCATAATACTCGAAAAACCTATCATTTTCCTCAAGAAAATTCTTATATTAACCTTATTCAATTTTTCAAAATGATTCATTCTTCTTAAATTTTCTGATTAGTCCCAAAAATCGTAATTTAGACCGATTGACGATCTAATATGATGTGGGACACCCTGTACTCTAGATGCGCTCCAATGTATGAGCAATGTCGTCTTCCTAGCAACAGACAGTCAAAATCATCATATGACCTAACTTAGTATTGGTGGAAGAAAATGGGACAACGTTTGGGTGAGAGGAGGGGGGAGGGATTATCTCCGTTTGTCAAATGCAAAAAGCGGAGAAAATCCTGTTACGTTACCTTGCATAAGGCTTTAAAGTGTCCATTGGACCATTGCTTTGGAGACGACATTTTCCGTACATTGGATTGGAGTTCAACCAGAGTATAACCTTAATAAACAACCTTTGTTCAATAGCTCAATGTAACAAGTAGTTCGACATTTCAAGATTATGTAATAATTGACGTTTAACTATGCTGACACCTAATTATGTTATTTTTAATGTAACTCTTTATTTCGATCATTTATAGAAAACTTCTTCCTGCATCTTTTGAAAACATTTTTAAAAAGCTTGGAAACTTTGAAAGATCTCTTAACTATCAACTTGACATTCTCAAAATGTGCTCATTACAGTATTTACCATCAAGCTCTCTTCTTAAGATGTGGAATAACCTGCCTCTTGACTTAAAAAGAAGCAACTCTCTAAGTATATTTAAAAATAGACTACTAAATTCTCTTTTTGAAAATTACATTACAATGTGTTATAAACCGAATTGCTATTAACTAATTAGATATGTTTTAATATGCTTTGATATTTGTTCTGTACATGTCAGAAAATTACTTTAAACTCTAGTTATTCGAATTAATGTATAAACTATTTTGCAGAAGATAAATTCGCAGCCTGATCTCTAATAGCTCTCCTTAAAACTATTTAAATGAAATGTGTTGTTATCATTATTAAAATTAGGTGGAAAAAATAATCAAAACAGCCAAGAGCTATTTTCCACCTAATTGCTTTATACTTGTACTGTTAATATAATCATCAATTTGTAATTGTAAACTCGTTTTGTAAACACTAGACAGATACACGTATTTAGCAATAAACTTTATATGATCTTATCTTATCTAACATTGTGCATTGTATAACATTTGTTCTAAAACATGTTATATATCTATATCCGCTGCAGGTAAGATTGTTTGAACTTTGAAGCGTGTTTGTTAAAAAATTATTTCATAGAAACTGGATTTTTCTACATTTAACAGCTTGAACTTAAAAAGAGAGGTGCACAGTAAAAAAAAGGTAAAATGCACCAAAAAAGTGTTATAATTGAATATCAATTAGTGTCTGCTTATTTTCCAGTAAATGGGTTAAAAACAAGTAAATTTGGAGCAATTATATCTGCAAAAATGTAACCTGTTCACAGTTTGGTGTACAGATTGGTGTACTGCAGTCAGGACCAGTCCAACCATCATTACATTCACAACTGTACAGTACACAATGTACATAACAAATTAGGAATATTATAAATTGAAATTTCTAGTTCTTCTCTCCACTTTTGTTAGCTGGGGCCCATCTTTCACTTTCACTTTAGAATTGTATATATGACTTTTTTTACTTCAAACTTTAAATATTTCGCAAAATGTGAATAAAATTAAGGAAAGAAGTGAAAAAGATAGTAAGAATGGAAAACTGCATATGGACTGTTTAAACCTTTGACAGATCACGGATGACATAGAATTCTGTCTGTATTTATCTAATTAAAAAATCGAGTGAAAAACTTATTATCCAAATGAACTTAAAAAATTGTTTGTAATTATATTTCATGCGAGTGATTTCATATTTAAAAAACAGGACGAAAAGACTCTCTAAAATGGCAGACAACAAATCTTCCTATTCTCCGTTCTACCGTCAGTTACTTAGAGATCTAGAAGTCTAGAAGATCTTCAACAATTTGTCTCTGCGAGAGCAAACTTTAAATCCACGTTTTCCGCGAGAAAAAATGTCACGACTCAAGAGGCATTAATACTGGAATAATAAAATCAATATCAATAATAAGAATGTAAATAAGCAGACACACGCCAAGTGTTTTTGTACTGAGATAAAGCAATGTCGTCATCCATAGAAATGAATCCGTTATAATAAAATCCAATGATGTAGGACGCACTGTATCTCTCAAAAACTGCAGTTTTAAAAATACCTATTTAGGGAAATTCGGAAGGGTGAAAGGATTTTAAGAAAAAAGGGGAGGGGGATTGAAAGCAGAGAGGAGGTAAGGAAGCTCTGAATCACGTGTATACTGATTGATGATTACTGATTACAAACATGCGACCCAATCAGATAGAAATATATATCTAGAATAATCTTGATACAATCAACAATATTAGAAAAATAATTTATATTAATCTAGTCAGAAGTCACAACTGCTCTTCTTTTTTCTCTTTTAATCATATAATATCATAATTGATTAGATTTAATGGAATCCTACGTCAAAACTTTTTCATTCTTTCTGATAATTTTTTCAGAGAAATTAAATATTAAAAGATTTTCAAATAAAATTTTCTTTTTTCTCCAGGATTGTTTTTAATTTTACCTTGAATTTGCTGTGCAGTGTCCATTGTTACCGCAGCCACAAGAAAGAGCTAAATATAAAAAAAATCTTATTCTTATTTATTGATTATGACTAGAGTGTAAACCTAGCAAGTTTACTAAACTTTTTTTTTAAATTTAAATATTTATTTATAAAAAAATAATAAAAACTCTGTGCTTTTTTCACGAAATGTGTACAAAGTAAGTAACAATAAACATTTTTTAAATCATTGAAATTACAATACCAAAGAATTAATACCGTCTGTTTCCTTTTATTCACGATACCCTGCAACTGTAAACTTGTGTCTTATGTTGCCAAATTATAGAATAAACCATTACGAGAATACATACGGAGGCAGTCAATTATATCGATATAATGAAGACGACTTTTTATTTAATATTTTTAATTGTTAACAAGCTTTGGTTGAATTACAAGTTTACAAGTAAATAAAAAGAACCTTTTTTACTTGACAGATTTTCTTTGTTTCCATGTTTATGTGTATCCCATGCTGTTTAACAGCTTGCTATAAATCAAAATTGAAATAGAAAGTCGTCTTCATTATATTGATATAATCGCCTACCACCGTATTAAGGCAGATTAACATAGAAAACGTCGTGTTAGGTGAGTTTCTCATCCTTTATGGGTAGCCCTATATTTTAAGCGTAATAGATGATAATGAAACTTTTATAAAATAAAGATAACGTTAGTATTTATCTATTTACTAGATCAATATTTTTTCGGTCAACACTAATAGATTCCTGATATTTTCAGGACTCTGTAAGACTACCTTCTTGAAATTTGAACCTGACCATTTGTATAATTTTTACTAAATATCATGTTGTTAAGATGCTCTTTAAAAACTCTCGTACAGTGAAGAAGATTTTACCTGGATTTTCTTGCTTTACTGAATAAGTTTCATTCGCCTGGAATTAATGATTTTTGAAGAAAATAAATAAAGTATATTGAAAATTAACAAATAATTTCAATTTTTCAAATCAAACTAAAACTTGTGATTTTAATATCAAAATTTTACGTTTTATAATTATTCAGTTTTCTAATAAGGCGGAATTAAAATGGCGTCACACTGACCTGTGCAGACGAAGTCCTAAACCTGTTATTAAACAGCTGAATATCCTCGTTGGTGATGTGACTGGATAAGAAAACAAATTTGTTCAAAAAAAGATTACATTTATGTTAAAAAACTATATTTTGTACGATAATTGCATAATGTTTACGAAAGTACAATAAGTATTGAAATTAACTTTCAAAATTAGTTTTAATTTGAAAAATATTAAATTTGAACCTTTTTGAAAACTTTAAATTCTAGAAGAATCATTTTTTTTCAAATATTAATTTATATTCGAATATTCTGACGTGTACCTCTCGGGTTTAAAGGGACTGTATGCGCTTGTTTCAACTCTAAAATAAAAAAATTGAATTGAATGCCAGATTTTCTTTTGATTTTAAAATATTAAGTTTATCCCACATTTCGAGGTTCTTGGTAATTTTTGAAAAGCATTCAGAGGTCGGAATTCAGATTCAGAGGTCGTATTTCAGATTCAGAGGTCGGAATTTAGATGCAGAGGTCAGAATTCAGATCCAGAGGTCAGATTTCAGATTCAGAGGTCGATATTCAGATTCAGAGGTCGGAATTCAGATTCAGAGGTCGGAATTTAGATTCAGAGGTCAGAATTCAGATTCAGAGGTCGGAATTTAGATGCAGAGGTCGGAATTTAGATGCAGAGGTCGGAATTAAGATCCAGAGGTCAGATTTCAGATTCAGAGGTCGATATTCAGATTCAGAGGTCGGAATTCAGATTCAGAGGTCGGAATTCAGAATCAGAGGTCGGAATTTAAATCCAGAGGTCGGAATTCAGATCTAGAGGTCGGGATTCAGATTCAGAGGTCGGGATTCAGATTCAGAGGTCGAAATTCAGATCCAGAGATCGGAATTCAGATTCAGAGGTCGGGATTAAGATTTATAGGTAGGAATTCAGATTCAGAGGTCGTAATTCAGATTCAGAGGTCGTAATTCAGATTCAGAGGTCGTATTTCAGATTCAGAGGTCGTAATTCAGATTCATAGGTCGGAATTCAGAATTCAGTAAATTGGGCATGCCCTTTTTTATGAAAGGTCAATTGAAATTGAAATTACATCTCTGTATTGGTTTTAATAAAGGATAACATAGGTGTCGAGAAACATCGGGCATTTAGCTTATTTTATATTTTTTAATACAATATTGAACTGTGTCTGAATGTAGGTAGAGGAAATTAGATTTTTATTTATCAGCAAAGTTTTGAATTTATTAAATTTTTTATTTTGAAGTTCTATTCAAAAATTTAAATATTGAGTTAATATTTTTTGAATAATATATTGAAATGTATCTATGTTATATTATGTTGCCTCGAATTTCATTTGTTAATTGATAGAGGTAAACATGAACTTTAGTGGTATAGACTTGATCTTTAGAGCTTTAAACTTGACTTTAGAGCTTTCAACATGATCCATAGAGCTTTAATCATGATATTTAGAGCTTTAAACATGATCTTTAGAGCTTTGAACATGATCTTTAGAGCTTTAATCATAATAAGTAGAGCTTTAAACATGATCCATAGAGCTTTAATCATAATATTTAGAGCTTTAAACATGATCTTTAGAGCTTTGAACATGAACTATAGAGCTATAAAAATGAAAATTAGAGGTATAAACTTAAAGCTTTAATCATGATCTTTAGAGCTTTAATCATAATATCTAGAGCTTGAGTCATGATATTTAAAGCTTTAAACATGATGTTTATAGCTTTAATCATGATATTGAGAGCTTTAAACATGATGTTAAGAGCTTAAAACATTATGTTTAGAGCTTTAAACATGATCTTTAGTGCTTTAATCACGATATTTAGAGTTTTAAACCGAACTTTAGCGCTAGAAACATGAACTTTAGAGGTATAAATATTTACTGTAGAGTTATAAACATTAACTTTAGAGCAATAAACATAAACCTTTTAGAGGTGTAAACATAAACTATAGACGATAGAGCTATTAAACATGAACTATAGAGCTATTAAACATGAACTATAGAGCTACTAAACATTTTCTTCAGAGCTTCAAACATGAGCTTTGTTTTGATTGCTCTCAATTCTTTTCATCTCAGTGAAAACTAGATTTTTTTTCTAAATTGTTTTATTTTTTTTGGGAATTGAAGAAATAAGTTTTCTAGACTTGTATAATATAAACTTGAAATGGTGGTGCAGGAGAAATTGATCCCTAGGGAACTCCAAACTTGACAATATCTGACAATACCAGACAATACCAGACAATACCAGAGAATACCGAACACTACCAGTCAACACCAGACAATACTGGAAAATACAAGACAATACCAGACAAGACCAGACAATACCTGACAATACCAGATAATACCTGATAATACCAGATAATACCTGATAATACCAGATAATACCTGATAATACCAGACAATGCTAATTAATTTTGTTCTAAAAAACAAAAAATAAAATTGGCAACAACAAGGTAAAAATAAAAAAGTAGAATTAAAAAAACACTGTTAGGGAATCCTTCAATCATTCTTTGCATGATATAATCTATCCAAAGAGATCATAGATCCGGATCAAGTTATTTTTAGGCTTGTTTCAGGTTTTGTATCCAGCTCTCCAATTAGATTTAATAAATCCTGTTGAGGAAAAAATATACTCTAAAAAAAAGACATTACTCAGGGTTTTTTCTTAAATTCATGAATTATCTTTTTGGTCTTTCAGGTCGACATTTTAATCTCATCTTTTCTGGTTAGCCCTGTAAATTGTAGATCAAGCTTTAAATAATGTGTTATAATATTTAAAGTTATATTGTCTACCTGCAGTTCAGAATTGAACAGTTAAAAGAGAAAACTTTGAATAAATTTGGTGATTTTACATTTTTGTGACAAAGTGCAAATATTCTAGAATATGCAACATCATGCGGATGATAAAGCCATCTTTCTTTTACAGTTCCCAGACTGGGCTTTGACTCCAAAATTGGAAAATTTACGACGCAAATTCTTCTAGAAAAAAGGAGATAGGGGGGGGGACTAACTTCCTCCCCATGCAGGAAAGATATACTATAGCTATAGATAAAAAAACAGGACTGAGGTTTAAGTGTTGCAGTACCAGTATGAATATGGTCGTTTAGTAAACCCTTGTAATATTTTAACATTAATTAAAATTAAAATTAATTATTAAGGAAGTTTGATCAGAATCAGTTTGGTTTACAAAAATAATTTTCATTTTATAATGTTTTTTTTTAAGCAGTCTTATAAGATAGTATTGTATTATTAATTTTAAAAAAAATGAATTCTTAAACGAAGGAATGAGATCATTGAATTGATACAATCATGAATCATTTTATTAAGGGACAAAAACACAAAAAAGTTTAAAATTGTACTGACCTACAGGGTGGTAAGGAACAAGCTCTAGTTACTTTTCTCTCCAACCCTGTAAAAACAAAATCTGATGTGTTTCGAGCATTTTAATCGATTGATGTGTCATGAATATATATCCAGGTTCACTTTTTCACTTTTTATTGGAGAAATCAGACTAAACTATTCAAAACTATGAATTAATAATTTAGAACATGGAGTATTGAATATATGCAGGGTGTCCCACGAAACAGTTGATAAATAGTTTTTAGTGTCGTCTTACATATCCTGTATTATGATATTAAAGGCTTTTTGCATGGTTTATTTCTTTTGTACAAATATATTTTACTTTGAAATCAATTTTACTATAATATGACTCACATATAATATTTATATTATTGGTATTAATCAACTTTACAAATTATGGAAGAAGACATTCTAAACAAATTCACCAACTGTCATGTTTCGTGGGACACCCTGTATAACGTATACATTCAGTACAAAGCTGTATTTACGTCACCTGACATACTTTCAGTATCAGACAAAATTATATAGTGATCATTTTATACTATTGTCTTTGCCACAAACTCTAATTTTCTAATCCCGATATCTTTACAAACTGATTGTGGAAACCTGTGATAGTTGAAACTTGGATTATATGATTTATCAGGATTCATAGTTTTAAATCGCTATAAAGGTATACTAGTTATGATGTTGGGTTGCACATAGACATAGACATTAGAAATTCAGAGTTTGTGGCAAAGACTCCATCTCTTGGTGAATAACTTTATAGAAAAAAACTCATTTTTTCCTTATATTGATATCTTGATATCTTGATATCATGATATCATGATATCATGATATCTTGATATCTTGATATCTTGATATCTTGAAATCTTGATATCTTGATATCTTGATTTAAAATACTGTTTGGTATATTTTTTTTTAGTAAATTGCTTTCTTTCTTTTACTTCAAAGGATAATTGAAATTTTATAAAAACTGAAAATTTGAAAAATTTTCAATTGATTTCTATAAAAGAGAATATAAATATTCTTTACAGTTTTATCGACATACAACATTTTCTCCGTTTTACGGTGGAAAATTGGAAATAATAAAAAAATATCTAAATTGAATATTTATGAATAAGGTGGATGTTCTGGTACAGGGTTATCCACTAAGGAGGAGACATTAGAGACGACTGTACGGAATTTATTGAGTTCTTTTCTGACATCCGTGCTTCCTTGCAAGTGAAACAAGCTTTTTTCCTTACAAAACCATTAAATAAAACATTGAAAGACTATATTGAAGACAGAACTTCAAATTTTACATTCAGATCGTCCTATTCAAGAGTATTGGGTCGTCATTGTAGTCTCATATTTTGTGGATAACCCTGTAGTTCAGAGAATTCGTCTATTAGAGAGTTTTGCTAAATACGTTGTTAACACTAAAGCTGACCCCAAGTGATGTAAAGTTCTTAATTGTACATGGCTCTAGGGATGTAATAAACGTATAAGTGGGGTAGTGAGGGCAAATCAAAGAAAAAGGCATTGCAACACTTTAAAGTAAACCCAGCCCTAAAAATGTATGCAAGTTTTCATAGCAGCCTGGATCAATGTGATCGAATCCAGTTTATACTTCAGCTTGTCGATCATTTGTAAACTCACCCTCTCCAATACAATCCATCATTCTCTCAGAGTCAAGACATCTGAAAATTGTAATTTCAAACAATTTGGGCATTAACAATAATGCAAATTTTTCTAAAAATAAAACTTTATCTAAATAATATTTTAATATCCAAGTTATAAGTGTTTTGGTAGAGTTGTACGTGTGTGATCTTTAATGAAAAATCAATTAAATATTCTGGTCATAAAAAACTATTATGTGAATTATCAAAATTTAATGCTTTTAACCTCCTCGGATACTTAACGAACACTGATACATCTATTTTTGTTTACAAAGTCCGCCCAGAGAGAACTGTTTTCAATATGTGCGCAGAATATCCGCAACTGCAATTAACTTTCCTTGCATTATAACCTTGTGTCACCAATTCTATAGTCTGTATGTATACTGTACATTTAGTGTACTGTCCCGTTCTTCCACCTATTCTATAGTCTGTACGCATACTGTACAATTAGGGTACTGTCACGTTCTGCAACCTGTTCTATAGTCTGTACGTATACTGTGCAATTAGGGTACTGTCACGTTCTTCCACCTATTCTATAGTCTGTATGCATACTGTACAATTAGTGTACTGTCACGTTCTGCAACCTGTTCTATAGTCTGTATGCATACTGTACAATTAGTGTACTGTCACGTTCTGCAACCTATTCTGTAGTCAGTACAAATACTTTACAATTGGATACAGTTCTGCTTAAAAGTCAGTGCGGTACGGTATGAAGACGACTTTTAATTTCAATTTGATTTATATCAAGCTTTTAAATAGCATGGATACACAAAATCATGGAACCAAAGAGAAGCTGTCAGTTAAAAAAACCTCTTTTTTATTTACTTGTAAACTTGTAATTCGGAAAAGCTTGTTAACAATATAAACTTTAAAAAAAAGTCTTCTTCAATATAATGATAAAATCCCCAACCACTGTACTTTAAAGTGAACTAGAGTTTTGAGTGAGGAAACAGTTTCCAATATTGACCTGGAAACACGGGTTTGTGTGGCTCGTCCACAGGTTGAACTGCAGCTAGTCCAGGAGGACCATTCTAGTCCTAAACAATGAGATGACGATGATGATGATGATGATGATGATGATGATGATGATGATGATGATGATGAAGATGAAGATGAAGATGAAGATGAAGATGAAGATGAAGATGATGATGATGATGATGATGATGATGATGATGATGATGATGATGATGATGATGATGATGATGATGATGATGATGATGATGATGATGATGATGATGATGATGATGATGATGATGATGATGATGATGATGATGATGATGATGATGATGATGATGATGATGATGATGATGATGATGATGATGATGATGATGATGATGATGATGATGATGATGATGATGATGATGATGATGATGATGATGATGATGATGATGATGATGATGATGATGATGATGATGATGATGATGATGATGATGATGATGATGATGATGATGATGATGATGATGATGATGATGATGATGATGATGATGATGATGATGATGATGATGATGATGATGATGATGATGATGATGATGATGATGATGATGATGATGATGATGATGATGATGATGATGATGATGATGATGATGATGATGATGATGATGATGATGATGATGATGATGATGATGATGATGATGATGATGATGATGATGATGATGATGATGATGATGATGATGATGATGATGATGATGATGATGATGATGATGATGATGATGATGATGATGATGATGATGATGATGATGATGATGATGATGATGATGATGATGATGATGATGATGATGATGATGATGATGATGATGATGATGATGATGATGATGATGATGATGATGATGATGATGATGATGATGATGATGATGATGATGATGATGATGATGATGATGATGATGATGATGATGATGATGATGATGATGATGATGATGATGATGATGATGATGATGATGATGATGATGATGATGATGATGATGATGATGATGATGATGATGATGATGATGATAAAAAAGTAAATCAATAAAAATTTTAAATTTTAAAATTTTAATTTAAATTTCAAAATTTACCATAAGTATTGTCGCCACTGGACTCCATATCATCATCATCCTAAAATCATGATTTTTAAAGAATCCGTTAATACATTTTATTGATTGTGAAATTCAAATTTAATCTATGAACAATGGTTCTTCAATCCTTGTTTGATTTAATTCTAAAAATTTTATGCTAGAGCATATTTTTCATATTATTTTTAAATTCTAGAATTTTCTTTTCTGATATTTTGAATTTAGACTTTTTGGTTGAAAACTGGGAAACTAATAGAAGTTTATGAATAATATTAAAGAAAAGAAAATGACTGAAATATCCTAATATTCTTGAATAAAGTAGATTATGTGGCTAAAGTTTTATACCGGCTTTCTTTTCCGTTCTCTTCAAATTATCTTTTATTTTCTTATTATTGTTCTTACTAAGGGTTCCAGCGAACGAAAACTAGCGCTAAATTCGCGATTATTTTCTTTCGTATTTCGCAAACTTTTTAGCAAATTAATTTAGCATTTTTTGCGAAAAAATTTTTCTATAGGATGAGAAATTTCGCTTTAATCTGTTACGTGAAAAATGCGTAATTTTTGCGAAACGATTTTTCCATTTCGCCGTAAACCCTAGTTCTTACCTGTCCACTCCCCTCCCCCTCTTCTCCGCTTAATTCTTCTTCACTTTTCTTAGGATTATCGTATTTCATTCCTCTTTTAGTTTTTTCTTCATCGTTTCCTCTTCGTTCTAATTCCACAACTTCTTCATCCAAATAGTCTTCATCCAGGTAGTCTTTATCCTCTAAACAGTAAACACACACACACATATATATATATATATATATATATATATATATATATATATATACTGATTTATAGTCTTTATTCAGGTAGTCTTTATCCTCTAAACAGTAAACACACACACACATATATATATATATACATATATATATATATATATATACTGATTTATCTTCACAACACAAATAGATTTATAGTCTTTTTTCATGCAGATCATCTTTATTTAGGTACATAGTGTTTAATCTATTAAAAACAGTTACATAGTCTTAATTCAATAAATCAAGTAAATCGTTGTCACGTGATACAGACGGAAATCACGTGACAGTATACTGCACTGCCTTTGGCTGAAGTTCTGGTGACGTAATACGGACTATACGGACTATATGTAATAATATTGTCAATTATATCTATTATAAATGCAAAATAAAATAAATTATAATAGGAGGAAACCTGAGAGTCTAAGGCTCCTGTGGGATATCGTCGTTTTCGGATTGATTGCGTATTTGTTGAATAATGATCTGTTTAATACTACAACTTTTACACAAAATTGCATATATATGAATTTTCGTATAAATTTGGCACAATTTTACATCAATTTCTCCAGACAAGAACATCAGATAGATGTCTTATATGTATCGTTTAACTCCTGAAATTCTCAGGTTTCATCCTATACCCCTTTTCATTTTTCCTTTACAGTCCCTTTAATGAATAAGACCTTATCTACAAAACAGACAGTTCTCTTTTGTTCGTTCAAGTAGTCATCATTCATCTTTATTCATAATTCATCCATGTTTCATCCACTTTCATAAACCCATACATATATGATATATATACATATACATATATATATATTTATACAATTCATTTAAATCTAACACTCTCAGATCGTGAAACAAAAACTCTTTTTGCCAAATTTACGGTTTATTTAACCATCTTCAGGGCATATTCTTGCTTTAACTCAACCAAAGATTAACTCATGTAAATATATACATATATACATATATGATATATATTTACACATTTATGATGATTTTAAAGCCAAATATTTTCCAAAATTCCACAAATTTTCTAAATTAATGATATTTTATATTTACGTACTGGATGTCCCACGAAACATAATAGTTAAGATACAACTCGTTTTTGATCTTTAAAATAATTTTACTTGTAACATCTGCAGCTGTTGCCGAATAAATCAGCTGTTACCGAACAAATGCCGCAAATTATTTCAAAAATTCAAAACGAATTTCAAGCTGTCTCTGAACTGTCCTGTTTCCTGGGTCACCCTGTACGTGGAGATATTAGTTTCATATGAAAATATTTAATAAAGGCTCAGATAACACTGCAGACTAACCAGGAGGAAAAGGTCAAATTCAATTGACTTATCTGTTACGACTTTGTGACTCCGTTGCTCCTCTGGTTTTAATTTTATGGACAAGATTAAGAAAAGCAAATTTATCCGGTTAAATATTAGAAATTCAAAACATTTTTATTCTTTTCAATACCTCTTCAATATGAGGAGTCACGGGCAGCCGTAGTACATTTGAATTTCTGAGCCGGGTCAACCTTTCCAGTCCCAGTTTGTACTGTATCGCCCGGACATAGGATAAATAAAGCAGACACTCAATATTGCATGTTTTTCATAAATATCAAATATATACTCAGCAAATTCGATTAAAAATTTTATTATTTCATTTTAAATTGTTATATTGTGTAATATAATGTTAAAGTATAGCTTTTTAAAATCAAAAGTTTTTACATTTTATTTAGTTAGAGCTTTTTTTATTTTTCTATTTTGATATTGATGTTGACTTGAAAATAATTTGAATTTAAAACTTTCATCTTTAATCTTCTTTTATAATATCTTGAAAACTTCAAGTTTAAAATTTGAACTACAAAAGTATTGATTTTCGTTCTTAAATAATCTTTAAACCCTTTTTTCCTATTTGCATAATAGATTAATTAAGTTTTTTTTTACGGCAAACGCGCAAATTGTTTTTTTTTTCATATAAAAAAATAATATCAAAAATTCCAAACATTTTTTTAATGTTTTTGGCTCACACAAATTCTATATAAAACTCTTATATTCCTCTTAATTTCAATGAGTTTTTTATTATTTTGACGTTAAAAAATAATATTTTTGATATAACTCAGAAAAACTATTGTTAAGAAACAAACTTTTAAGCTCATTGCTTAATCATGACGCCCTCCTCTCTTTTCTAACACTGTAAAATTAAAAAAAATTAAAAAATAACAAACTTCAGTGATTTTTATAATACAATTTATGTTCTGTAAACTACAAAATACTGATTGGATCAGAAGATCAATTTGATAATTAGCTAGTGAACAAAGTAAGAACAAAGAACAAAATTTGTATAATTGTAAAATTCCATGTTGGGTTCTCCATTACAGTAACTTGTAGATTTATGTAAAAGAAATAAATTGTGCTTAAGATAATTGTAATTGCTTATCAACTGATATAAGGCTGATGAAGCATGTTTATTTAGGTCCTCGTATAATTGAATAAAAGGTCTTCACCAATAATAGGATTCTCAGGGGAAGTTAGTATGCATAAACCGTGGTCCTGAAACCGTGGTCCTGAAACCGTGGTCCTGAAACCGTGGTCCTGAAACCCTGGTCCTGAAACCGTGGTCCTGAAACCGTGGTCTTGAAACCTTGTTTTATTAGAATGAATTGCTTAACTGCATTCAACCAAAGCTCATCACATGTCCAGTTAAAATTTTGCCTGGCTCCCAACAAGGCTTCTTTTTTCTGCAGAATTATTGTTAAAAGGATTGTAAGCTTAATTTTAATTGACCCGCCATGCAAAGATGACAATGCCAGATTTACAACGGTACCCTTGTTTTTGTTTCTTTGAACTCTTTTTTTCATTTTAGGGTTACCTGCGAAACTGAATTGCGCATACCTTGTTTATAAGAAGCAACAGAGAAACGCACAGAAACTAACACTTTTTTGAGTCAGAAAAACGACGGTTTCTTCCACACTTTTGATCAGATTTAGGTTTTAAGGGTACCGTTGTAAATCGAGCGACATTACCAACTTTGAATTTAGGGTCACTTGAAATTAGGTTTACAGACCCTTTAAGAACGACATTTTTAAATACGTATATTACTGTTAACAAGATACTTGTAAATCCCAGTCACAGGGCAAGCCAGATGCATACGGCGAAAATTTTTAAATGTCGCACTTGGGGCTGATGAATTGATTCCATGCATGCAGTACAATACGAGTATAGTTAATCTATATAATAGGAATATCTTTAAAACATCTCAGTACATTTATATCTTTCAAGATGAAAAATGTCGTCTTATGCGCAATCTATCTTTATCTATGATTGTATCTCACTGTTGAGAAGTTTCAACGTCGCAAAATCGTGCCAGTAATGTAGGATATAATAAACTTATCTTTTATTTAAAGATTAAAAGATGGAACACGAAAGATTGTTTTATGTTTGAAGCAATTGTATAACATAACAGTTCATAAACATACACCGCGTACAACATGCACCCCATGCGTAACAGATGCCAGGTGGGGTGGGAGGATAGCGTGTGTGTACCCATTTGATTGTAACTTAATAGGACTGCTAGGAATTAGTTTTGTCAAAGCAAAAACAAATGCTGTTTGTGAAAACATCTCTAAGCTCTCAAAACTCTCCTGCTGCAGTAGTTTGTTAATAAGAGTTATAATTTATTAATACTGCAGAAAATTATATGATTTGAATTGATATGATTTGATTTGATTTGATCAAAAATTGTTGATTTAAAATAAAAAGCAACTATAGATATGGTTGCATCTAGATAAGTTATATTTCAAAAGTGGATAATTGATTTAACATATAAAGCAACTATAGATATGATNGCGCCCGTTTTGGGGGTCGTGCGGGTCGTTTTCAGACTCTAAAACAGCGTCGCTTGTTCTATGCGGGATAGATATGATTGCATCTAGATTAGTTATATGTTAAAAGCGGATAATTGATTTAAAATATAAAGCCACTATAAATATGATTGCATCTAGATAAGTTATATTTTAAAAGCGGATAATTGATTTAAAATATAAAGCAACTATAGATATGATTATTGCATCTAGATAAGTTATATTTTAAAAGTGAATAAAATGTAACCTGTTGTGTGTGTTTCATGTTTAGGCTTTTCTGCTGTACATTCATCACTACAGATCAATCATTCACTTCTTACAAAATAGTTTCCGTTTTGTTCAAAATTTTGCTTGTTTCTTAAAAACCACCTTTTATTCAACCATCAATTGATGGGTATATGTAGAGTAGACGTATTAAAACTTTTTACTAAAAAGGAATTTTTCCCCGAAAAACAATAAATCGAAGGGTCAAGACCAGTGACCGTGATGGGATTGTAAGCTTAATTTCAAGTGATCCTTCATGAAAACATGGCAATGCCATGTTTACAACGGTACCCTTGAAAGCTTTGTCTGATCAAGTATGAATTAGATATCAGCGTTTTTATTCCTTTAAAATGTTTATTTTCCTTTGCGGGTTAGGGTTTCTCTGTGAAAGTGACTTGCGCATTTCTTTTTTATAATAAGAAGCAACAGAGAAACTCACAGAAATAAACACTTTTTGAGTTAGAAAAACGACTGTATCTTCCATATTTTTGATCAGATTAATTTTTCAAGAGCAACGTTGCAAATCGGGTATTGCTATCTTTTCATGAAGGGTCCCTTAAAATTACATTTTACAGTCTCTTTAAAAAATGAAATGAAATGATGAATATATAAATATTTAAATGAATGAGAAGATATTAGATTGATGAATGAAATGATGAATATATAAATATAAAAATGAATGAGAAGATATTAGATTGGTGAATGAAATGATGAATATATAAATATTTAAATGAATGAGAAGATATTAGATTGATGAATGAAATGATGAATATATAGATATATAAATGAATGAGAAGATATTAGATTGGTGAATGAAATGATGAATATATAGATATATAAATGAATGAGAAGATATTAGATTGGGGAATGAACTGATGAATATATAAATATAAAAATGAATGAGAAGATATTAGATTGGTGAATGAAATGATGAATATATAAATATATAAATGAATGAGAAGATATTAGATTGGGGAATGAACTGATGAATATATAAATATATAAATGCATGAGAAGATATTAGATTGGCGAATGTAATGATGAATATATCTATATATAAATGAATGAGAAGATATTAGATTGGTGAATGACAGGATGAATGAATAAGTAGAATAATGAATAAATGAATTAATCCCTAACATCTTCTGGATTTCTGGAAACAATAACCTGTTCTATTTCACCCTAAATAAAACATTTTTTAGAATGAATTAAATTGGATTAAATTATTTCATTAAAATTTTTATGTTCATCATCAGACTATCGATTTCAGATTTTTTTGAAATATTATTTTTCCGGACTTCTTATGGTATTGTAATTTCTAAACGTACTTTTCACTTAAACGTCATCGCTTAACGGAATAATTATCACTGACATTATACTTTCATGAGAAAATATAATGTAAAATCTTTATGCTTGGTAAAAGGAAAATGTGATATTTTTTTTTATGAAGAAATAAAAATAAAAAGGACGAAAACTTGCTTTGAAAAACAAAACTCTTTAACTTTAACTAAGAAAGGGTGGTGACGTGACTAAAAGATTTTTTTGTCTGAAAAAATAATAATAATATCTTTTAAATATTAAAATATGTAGCTTTCTAATAACACCTTGATTACAAAAATTAAGTAAGAGAATGTTTTCTCTAGTGCAAGGTTCTATTGGGTACACCCTGTATATATATATTCATGTTTATATATAACCTAAAACATATATATTGGGGACACCCTTTACTTATATATATTTATGTTAATATATAACCTGGAACATATATATATAGGGTACACCCTGTATATATATTTATGTTAATATAACCTGGAATATATATATATTGGGGACACCCTGTATAAATATATTTATGTTAATATATAACCTGGAACATATATCCAATTGCAACATCTGGGAATGTTGCTGGCTGTATCGGGTATCCATGCAGTATCTGGGTACTCAACCATCTGCAGTACATTACAACAATATTATACAACAGAACTGCAGAGTCAGAAACTTAAGACCAAGGTACTAATGCAAGGAGAGTTATTTCAGAGGCGTTCCCATATTTTCTGTACTGCAGTGTACTGTCTTTGGGCGGAAAAGTAAACACAAGACGGATGTCACAGCCTGACATGAAATCAATTTTCACAAAAATAATCCATGAAATATTCTGGTCAGAGGAAACTATTATGTGAATTTTCAAAATTAATTGCTTTTAACCTCCTCGGATACTAGATGAACACTAATGCATCTATTCTTGTTTACATATTCCGCCCAGAGAGAACTGGTTTCAATGTGTACGCAGAGTATACGCGACCGCAATTAACTTTCCTTGCATTAGTACCTTGCTTAAGACAGAGTATCGTAATGAAACCCAGTATCGAAAACCCGGTTTCGTGAATGGGGTCAGACAGTTTTGTAGATACTAATAATTTGTATTATTTCATGTGGTTTCTTTAGATTCATTTTTTGCTTTCTGATTTCTTAAACAAAAGTGTAGTGACCCCAAAAAGGAAATTCGGGCGTTTCGTTCAACTCTTTTAAAATTTAGACTCATGGGGCTCTTTAGCCCATTTTCATAGTTCCAAATCTGATTTCTAGGGATTCTTTTTTTTATAAGTAAGTGCTTCTGTTTTTAATTTTTTAAGAATATAACTTGAACGATTTTTTATAGCATTGCATAGCATAGTATTAAGCCCTGGTAATCCAAAACTTGGTGTAAATTAATAAACTTCATAAACTAATATCTTAAAATTAATTAATTTTCTCTGTAAAATGGTGATTACTTTTTTCCCTGAAATTTCAATTTTTCAATTTGTAAACTAATATTAGGTTTAAATTAGTGATTTTTAAATTAGGATGTCCATGGACACTGGACCTTGACATTAGATAAAAATTAATTTTTCAACTTTGCGACCTTGCTACCACCATTTTTAGATATTGTATTAACTTTTAGCCCTGCACGCAGTCCAAAAAATGCAAAGCTATTTTTGCCTTTCTCTTTGGGACTGGGGGGCCGGGACTGGCGAGTAAGCCTATCAAAATTTATTCCGGCCGATCCGATACAATTTACAAAAATTGAATATGATTTTTGGCATCAAATTTTATTAGATGGAATTTGAAAAGTTTTTCAATTCAATTATGAATAAAAGGGACATTGGAGATTGTACATTTCAGAGGTAAGCAAAAAATATTTTAAACAGTGTGACCCATAAAATTGTGAAAAAGGATGAAGACTGTTAGACGCAACTTATGATTCTAAATAGTCTGATGAACATTAAAGGGACTGTAAAGGAAAAATAAAAGGGGGTATAGGATGAAACCTGAGATTCTCATGAGTTTATTGAGACATATAAAACATCTATATGATGTTCCTGTCTCGAGAAATTGACATAAGACTGTGTCAAAATTATACCAAAACCTAAATATGTAAGATATACGTCCATTTTACGTGACTAGAACTCCCTCCAATGGCAGTGCAGTGTATGGTCACGTGATAAAGACGGAGACATATTACAATAATACTGCACTGCCATTGGTTGGAGTTCTGGTGACATGTTCCGATTGCATAAATAATATAATCAATTATATTTGTATCTATTAAAAATGAAAAATTATGAAATTCAAATAATAATAGGAGCAAACTTAAGTTTCTCCCCTGGGATATCGTTGTTTTCAGATTGGTTGAGTATTTGTTCAATATGATCTGTTTGATACAAAATCTTACATATCTACGTTTTGGTATAATTTTGAAACAGTTTTATATCAATTTCTTGAGACAAGAAAATAAGATAGATGTCTTATATGTATCGTTCAACTCCATGAGAATCTCAAGTTTCAGTCTATACCCCCTTTTATTTTTCCTGTACAGTCCCTTTAAGTACAGAAATTTTTCAGTGTATGTATGCATTGTAGACCCATTTTGCATAGTATAAGTTGATGTTCTAGCTACCGGTAAAACTGTTTGCGTTATAACACCACATATTATTCCATATTTTATAGGTTTTATTGAACATGAAATGAATATTGTAAAATCGCACTCAGGTGTAGATATCCTAGTTTCCGGTTTCAAACAAAGCTCATTTAAAATTTCTATCCTTATTCCATGAAGCTCTGACTTTTGATCGCAATTTAACCAATTTAACATCGGTTTTTCTCTTATGTACTTTTTTGTCGCGTTTCAAATGAAAAAGAAGAAAACCACACTCTGTAAGTTTAAAGATTGTTGAATTATTGACTAAATCGCGATTGAATTCAAATTGAAGAATTGAAACTCCCACAGTTGGGTTCTCCAGATAATACAATCTAATAATTGTAAATATTATGACATACAGGGTGCCCCACATCATATTAGATCGTTTATAAATTGAGATTTAAGGGACTAATAAGAAAATTTTAAAAGGGGAATCATTTAGAAAAGAATATATTAGGATAATATAAAAATGTTCTTGCAGAAAATACCAGGTTTTTTGAGTATACAGTGCGTAGTTTGGCATTAAAAGTTGGAGATAATCCAATATGATATGGGACGCTCTGTATCTTGCCCTGGTTAGTCCAGGGTATATCTAAACATAGGGTTAAAAGACGAGTTGCCCACCTTTATCGACTTGACTTCTTTTTTTTTTCTGTCAATATTTGGACATTTTCTTCTCATGTAATGAACTATTTTAAAGGCAAGCAATTGATTTCCCTGGTTCCTTCGTAAATTTTCAAAACAGTCCAAAAAATTCCAGGGCCCTAACTAGCTGGCCATCAATTTAACCAAGAGATGAATACATCCAGATCATACCTGCAGTTTAGATAGCTTTTAATTGTTGTATCCTCTCCAATACTAAAAATAAAAAATTTATGATATTTATGATATTTTATTGAGTTAGCTTATCAGACTGACGTAGGGATGCCATAACTAAAACTTTACCAAAAGCGATAGTCAGAGTAAAAATCACACACACTGAACTAAACATTCGCCTCTAGTTTGCTATTTGAATATTTCTGAATTTCTGAATTTAGGCCCTCAATATAAAAAGTTACATTGCCTGATTCACAACAGTACCCTTATCCTTTTATTGGATTAACACCAAGGAGGTTATCATAGTTTTTTTTGCTTTGAAATGGAAAAAAGTTCTTTCAATTTCCTAAATTTTTTCTGCTGCATAGAAAAACAAGACCAACTCATTTATTGTTGTCCTGCCAAAGGTTTAAATGGTACCGTTGTGAATCAAGTATGGAACCCGTCTCTTTAAAAGCCAAATCTGTAATTCTATCATCGATTGAACCTGAGAGCCAAGTTGTTCCACTTGTTGTACAGTATCTCTGCTGGTACACCAACTACCCTTGTACCATTCACAGTCGAGTGTACAATCTTGACCTCCAACGTTTTACCCCTAAACACATAGATCCATACAACTTCAACAATTAGGCATCAATTTTCTAGACCGGGTCGACATTGCAGCGTCGTATTTGAAGTAATTCATTACATAAATGACACTTCAATATATTGTCCGAGACGGTTCACAAATAAAATCCGGCCAAACACAAGATCCGAGACAGTACCATTTAATATGGTCGGGCCGGTACAAAAAATCCGTGACGTAACATCTTCAAATATGTAATAGACCGCGGTACGTCAAGTGAACCGAGCTTGACAAGTTGACAGTGTGCGTAAACCCTTGGCCTTTGATCTCAAATCACTAACTCACATGTGAATTTTAAAACTTCAAATCTCTTGTTCACTGCAAACCATGATGTACACGCTTTCACGAAAAAAAATCGAGCGGTAATTAGCTAATTACTCCTTTTTAAACATAAGCTAGAAATAAGCGTGCTGCAATTTTAAAAGTAATTTTTCTAGGGCAACAAAAAAGTTTTCGTGCGTTTGTAAGGTAAAACCAAAGGCAAGGGCGTTGCGACACGTTAAAGTCACGGCAGTTTAAAATTCTAATGTCTAACTTTCAAAGTTGTCTAGATCTTAATCTGCGCAACTCTGACCCATTTAGTAAAAATAAATTCAACATGAAGTCTGACCGCGTCAACCTTGTTGCACCAGCTGGTCCTATTGAGTGTCTGCTTTATATGCCCAATGTCCGGGCGATACAGTACAAACTGGGACCGGAAAGGTTGACCCGGCTCGGAAATTCAAATGTACTACGGCTGCCCGTGAATCATTAATGTGTTTCTAGCTTTAGTTAAAAATGAGTATATTGTTCGTAAACTGCGCTATTTATGGACTTTTGCACCAGGGCATGCAAGCTTTGAATTACCGTGATGAAACTGTAGAGTATATAGACTATAGCTTGAGCAGGATTTAATCAAATACTCCGGAGAAAGAGGAATTTTCAATTTGGATCCATTGTTCAGCTATAAATCTTAAACTAATTATCTTTATCAGATAGAGAGATAGAAAACACATGAAGAACGGATAATAGACTGAGAGAGATTGAATTTAGAAATATTGAAAACAAAAATAAAAACATCGAAGAAAGGTAAAAGAAAGATAGAAGAAAAAAGGATGCATTGCGATAAGAAAATAATTTAGAATTAAAAGTTTTATTATTTGTTTTGTTTTTGGATTATATTATAAAATACATACCCTGAAATGGTTGAGAGTTCAAAAGAAATAAATTCATCTTTTTTCTGTGGATTTGTTAAGCTTAACAGAACTCCCTGAACACAAAATTTTATATTTGAAACACAAATATATTTTATATTTTAACTAAAAATTTTATCTAATAATCTTTCTGTACTTTACTTCCAGAAACTTAATAATTTACAAAGACAATAAAATATTGTTTTAAACAGAGAAGATGATAAGCTCTCGGGGGCTACCCTTAAAACAAAACCCTCCTAGGGGATTTATTTGAAATGAAAAAACGATTTAAGGTTTTAGATTTTTTAATAAGAATATATTTTAACTTAGTATAATTGTGTGCAAGACAATCAGACAATATATTAAAAATAATTTATCCCAATGAGCTTGGCTTAATCTTAATCTTTTAACTTATTTAGCTTACTTAATCTATTAACTATAATATATCTTAGCTTACTTAATCTATTCACTAATATATCTTAGTTTACTTATCTATTCACTAATATATCTTAGCTTACTTAATCTATTCATTAATATGTCTTAGCTTACTTAATCTATTCACTAAGATATCTTAGCTTACTTAATCTATTCACTAAAATATGTTATCTTTCCTAATCTATTCACTAATATATCTTAGCTTACTTAATCTATTCACTAATATATCTTAGCTTTCTTAATCTATTCACTAATATATCTTAGCTTACTTAATCTATTTACTAGTATATGTTAGCTTTCCTAATCTAAATCTATTCACTAGTATATGTTATATTTCTTAATCTTTTCACTAATATATGTTATCTTTCTTAATCTTTTCACTAGTATATGTTAGCTTTCCTAATCTATTCACTAGTATATGTTAGCTTTCCTAATCTTTTCACTAGTATATGTTAGCTTTCTCAATCTATTCACGCATATTAACTAATCTTTGTAGATACAAGACACTCTTTTATTCATTTTATTTTATTTCATTTCCAAAAATGTTAAGATTTCTCATTTCTCATTAAATCACCTTTCTCGCACAAATGCAATATTTTCACCTTAAAAAGTTATCTTTATTAATCTTTAATTCCTTTAATTACACTTTTTTAGGTTTGTTTTGCGCAGTTAGGAAAAGTTTAAACTATCAATACATTAGAAAGGTTCAAATATTTAGTAACGAATATTTATTTCTATTTCTCATTCTAATTTGGCAAGCTCCAAATGTGCTTTCTTTATATCTGTTAAACAATGAGTCTATGGTGAAGATAGCATATGCTGCATGTTGTTGTGAAAGAAAGAAAATGATAAATATCGAAGAATAAGAATAAGTATAGAAAAACTGTCAATATATCTTTAGTCTCACAAAACAGATGGGAATTGGACAAATTGAATTTAGTTTAGATATTTGATTACATTTCTTCCCTTTTCTTTCTTTTTTTCTTTCTTTCTTTCTTTCCTTCTTTCCTTCTTTCCTTCTTTCTTTCTTTCTTTCTTTTTTTCTTTCTTTCTTTTTTTCTTTCTTTCTTTCTTTCTTTCTTTTTTCTTTAACTTTAAAAACAAATATTTTTTCCTTTTCTTTTTCATTCTACCTTTTTTTGTATACCGCCCTGTCCCTCTGTCCCTCCCAACCTCCTTACCCCGTCCAGAATATATTTGTTGTCTGGTTAGTAAAGATATTAGCTAGGTTTAGAAGTAGGATATATATCCTGGGTTCTTCCAGGAATATAAATATCTTTAATCCCCTCTACCCCACCTCAATCACACTTTCTCAACATTAAAGTTCTTAAGATAACATTTCCTTGCCGGGGTACTCGGCTCTGCATGGAAATTGGAAGAAACTTTGTCAAGTATGTTACATTAAAAGTTTTAAAAAAGCAAAATCAATCCATTGCCCCATAGTAAGTAAAGGAAATTCGTTGCAAATTTATTGATTTCAAATAACTTTTATTGCTAAAAAGCAAGTTGAATAGGAAATAGGAAAATATTTTCTCCACTCTTCCTACATTGTATTTTCCCACTTTTACTACATCATATTTCCCCACCATTACTACATTGAATTTCCCCCCACCCCGTACTACATCATATTTCCCCACCCCTACTACATTGTATTTTCCCCACCCTTAACCTACAATGTACTTTCCCCAACTCCTACAACATCGTTTTTCTCCACTCTTACTGCATTTTATTCCCCCCCCCTTAAACTGAACTGCATTTTCCCCACTCCTGCAACATCATTTTCCCCATTGTATATTACATTGTATTTTCCAGACACCTCTTCTATATTTTTTTTCCCACCCCTACATTCTCCACCCTTACTGCATTGTACTTTCCCCACCCTTAAACTACATTGTGATTTACCCAAAGAGAATAGAATATATATTAGAGTGGAATTTACTCGAAAAAAGTGTAAAACGGCCATTTTGTTGTACTGTTTCCATACTGCAGGTGTACTTCACATATTTGTGCTATATAACCTTTTGGGCCCTGGAATATCATTTTATACAAAATCTAAAACCAATACTGAAAGAAAACCAAATTATGAAATAGGCTGGTTTCATAATTGACCAATGATCATTTCACATAGACTCTATGCCTATCACTAATTACAAACGATGATTTTCCGTTATGACTAAAAATCAATTGATGTTTTTTATTCACCTAATTCATTTTATAAAGTATATTTAACAGCTTTAAAAAATTCGAAATTGAAATGGATAGTCTAGGGAACATACTGTATTAATATACTCTACTGTATACAATTTGTGAACATTTACATGATTTGTAAACTTTGAACTCTCTTTCAGGCTGAAAGAGACTGAAAAAATTCATACAGAGAAATTGTCTAAATTCCCCTCTAATATATATTCTATTCTCTTTGGATTTACCCCACCCCTATAACATCATATTTCCACACCCTTATTATATTGCAGTATTGAATTTTCATCACAAATTGAATTTGAAACATAAAATTCAAAATGTAAAAATATGTTCAAATCAATTTATCTAATAAGAAAGGAAAATGGTATAAACAAATTTTTCTGTATGAATTGATTTCTTCTAAATTTTCCTCCACAAATTGTTATGAAGCTAATTTATGTTCAATTATAAGAGTGGTATATGATTCTTTATTTTAAACTGTATGTCATTATTTCTTTTCATTTTTCTCTATTATTACATTTATGTTTGAGTTTAAATGGTATCACCCCGGTGGCCCTGGACTAACCAGAGCAGCATTCGGTTTCTTTTATTTGAAATAAAACGTGCTTTGGTCTATGATTCAAAAATCTTTGAACTATTAACATTCAAAACGCATATGCTGACAAAAAAAGTATTAAAGAAAAAATGCTTAAAAAATATGTTTAATGGGTCAAATTTTGGGATCGAAAGTAACAGCTTTCTGGAGTATTGACAGAACCGTTAATCCACGTGGTTCAAAGTGACCCAGGCACTGACCATAAAAAGTGCGGAATGTCTGATTCACTATAGTGCCTATATACGAGTAATAATGTTGAAGATATTCCGGTTATTCTATCTTTAAAATTGTTGAATTCTGTGAATTATGTTCTTTGTATCTGCTGCATAAAATCCGCAAGTATAAGAAAGAGAAAGCAAATAATCAAGTTTACCGTTGTGAATCTGACATGGTGGGTCATTTAAAATAAGGTTTAAAGTTCCTTTAAGGCCATTGTTGATAACAAAAAGTTCTCCTAAAGATTAATGTCTAAAAGAATTGTTGTATTGGTAGATTTATCAGATTTCTAAGAAAATATCAATATCCGGAAGAAAACAGGAGAACATACATCAAAGTAATATTAATAAATCAACACTCTTATCGGAGTAAGACAAAATACATTTGAACTACAGGGTTTGCAGCAAACGAACCGTTTCGCGTTTCAAATTCTTTACAAAACTGCATCTTTAGTTTAACTACCATAATTGCCGATCACTCCCTTTAACACATTTCCAAATTAACCATGACAAATGTTGATAGGTAAATCTGTTGAATGAGGTAGAAAGAACTAGTGCATCAAAGAAACTAGAAAGATGAAAAGCCATGAAATCGGTGTGCTCCGATATTGATTTTCAAGTATTTGATTTTACCTCTGAGTGTGTGAACGGTTTGAATACCAGGAAAACAGAAAACACACTTTAAAAAATAATGCTTGAAAAAAGGATATTAAAAACTTATTACAAAATTAAAAAAACGTTGATTTGGTTTATTCAGTGAGAATCTGATTATTTTGAAGACGTAACAAAATGATTTAATTTGTTCGCAACAAACAAACAAAACAAAATCCAATTTAAGTCAGATTATTTTATTCCTGGGAAAGATGGTTCGGAAAACTTCCTGAAAAAAATAAATATTTAAAAATATTTAACTTAAAAAAAAGATTTAGAAGGGCTGTCAAAGAAATTTTAGGTAAATTGTTTTGAATATATATACAAGTACTGAATATTCTACCTGGAATGGATACAAGTACTGAATATTCTACCTGGAATGGATACAAGTATTGAATATTCTACCTGGAATGGATACAAGTATTGAAAATTCTACCTGGAATGGATAAAGAAGATAAGAACCAGCCTTTAACCTCCATCCAGCTAATCTACCAGGGATCCTATATCATATAATGCATAAATTAATTTATGTATAACATATATTATAGTTGGCCTTTAGGGCGCTTTGCGCCCATCCTCTTTTTCAACTTTAATTTTGGCTCTATCTGTGAGCAAGGGTGTAATGCAAGGAAAGTTAATTGCGGTCGTGTATACTCTGCGTACATATTGAAACCAGTTCTCTTTGGGCGGAATTTGTAAACAAGAATAGATGCATCAGTATTCGTTTAGTATCCGAGTATTAAATTTTAATAATTTTGATAATTCACAAAATAGTTTACTATGACCAGAACATTTCATTGATTTTATGTGAAAGATTGATCTCATGTCAGGCTTTGACATCCGTCTTGTGTTTACATTACCGCCCAGAGACAGTACACTGCAGTACAAAAGATGTGTACACTTCTGAAATAACTTTCCTTGCATTACATCCTTGTTTGTGAGCATCTTCTCTTTGTACAATAAAAAACAATAGCGCAAAAAAATTTGAGGATTTAGTAATATTTTTTTGAGCATTTTCAAAAGTTTACAAAAATCTTAAACTTTTAGATACAAATTTTTGTAAGTTTTATCATCCATAAATCCCAGGGATTATGTGAGGTCCCACAAAAACTTTTGGCCCGCTCGGTTCAGCCGTTTTGACGTTTATTGGACACAAAAGGACAGACACACAAGCAAAGTATATAGATTATAGATTATATATATCAAGTAGTAATCTCTGTTTGTCTGTTTGTTTGTATGTCCGATCATAACTTATGAACTTCTTGACCGATTTGCCTCACATTTTAATAGGTGCATTTGAGAGAACCACGGTAATGTTCTTAGCTTGGTTCTAAGTTGAGTGGGTCAACTTTTTTAGGGAAAAAAGCTAAAATCTGAATTTACTTAGAAGCACCGGTTAACGGTGGGACTAACTATAGAGTATTGAGTACACTGGGCAACGCTGGGTTCCCAAGCTTGTTTATAGAATAAACAGTCCATCTTCCTAAATAGTTCATAACTTGACAAAAATAGATGAAAAATTATTTGAATTAATTACATAGAACGAAATAATTAGTAACATGTTTCGAACTAAAAAAAACTTCGTCAATACTTAGACATGCCTAACCTGTCCATAATATAAAATCAAAAACCTTTCATTAAATTGTAGCAAACCTAAGAATTCTGTGAGATCAGATAGTTTCAGAGGTAGACAAGTTGCAAAGATATATGGATTATACAATTTGAGTTTGTTGGAAGAACTCAGTTCCTTTCTGGTGACAAGATGACCAACGTTCCTTTGTAGTTAAAAAAGTATGGTTCCCCAGGAGGCCTGTCCATTGCTGAAATTCAACTAACCATCAAAGGGAGTGCTCGCAAAAATAAAAGGGGGTATAGGCTAACGTCGAATCGAATTCCATGGTGATTCCTACTAATCTGTTAGTATCAAATACAGGGTGTCCCACGAAACATGACAGTTTGTAAATAGTTAAGGATGTCATCTTTCATAATTTGTTAAGTTGTTTAATACCAAAGACAATAATAAAAGTATTACATAGGAGTCATATTATGGTAAAATTATCTTCAAAGTAAAATATATTTGAGCAAAAGATTTTTTAAACGAAATAAACTGCAAGCAGGCTTCAAAATCTAATACAGTGTATGGAAGACGACATTCAAAACACCCTGTATGCTGAGTCTATAAAAGAAAATATTTAAACACAACGATAATACTGAAGAACGTAGCGTTTATACAAATTCACGGAGTTGCAATATTTCACTGAGATTGTAAATGTAGTTGATTTTTCATAATATTTCATAAGCATCAAGAGCAGAGACACCTAGCGGCCAATTAATCGTCGTTTTAGGAATTTTGAACAGTGAAACCCTTAATAACGAATACATCGGAAGAATTTATCAAATGTTGTCTTGACAATTTTTCAATGAGTTTTACACTCTATTACGTAAATTTCAGTATTTGCGAAAATAAATAAATAGCCATGAATATGCGGGAACAGTTTTAAAGAGTTCTATATAATCATTTAATTAAAAAACTAAATATCTTCAACACTCCATTATCAGAAAGTGAAGAATACGACATTTGATGAAATCTTTCGATGTATTCGTTATTAAGGGTTTCACTGTCTTATGATTGTATGGACGCTACGTTCTTTTCAAAAAGTCGTGTTTTGACCATTTTCTCCTTATAGCCGCAATAGAAAGAAGAAATAATAGTAGCAATTACCATCGAATTTTTTGTAAACTCTAGCTCCCTTTAATTTAACTAACCGTTAGTTTAACTAACCAGTAATTCGACTATTGTTAATCTATCTAACCATGTCATTTGAGTAATTGTTAATTCAAATAACTGTTAATTCAAATGACCGTTAACTCAACTAACCGTTGAATCGGCTAAACTATTACCGAACGGATCGAAGTAAAGGAAGTGAACATTTGCCACAAGTTCAAACTTTAAAACATGCTAGCTTCAGAACCCGGTGTTGCCCAGGGTACTTGTAGTTACTACCGCCGTTTACCCGCGCTTTGTCGTAAATTACGATTTTAGCGATTTTTCCCTATACAAGTGGACCCAATTAACTTAAAACTTCAAAACCTTGCTAAGAACATTCCCGTGGTTCTCTCGAATTCCCCAATTAAAATTTGAGGCAAATCGGTCAAATTTTTCGTGATTTATGATCGGACATCCAAACAAACAAACAGAGATTACAAATATATCAAGATATGTATGCAACTTGACGGCGAAAACCATCTAAAAATTTGGTTGCTAAATGTAGAAGAATTTAAAGCTTGAAATATCAAAGGTCTACGGCATCGGGTTGCAAAAATGTAAGGATTAAAAATTGAGTTTTAGTTTTCAGTGCCTTTCATGTTGGATAAAAACAAATTCTAACTTTTTTATCCTAGCTACGAGGTTACAAAGTTGTACCAGTAATTTCGCATAAACTTTTCGTTTTCCCAATATCTAGATTGAAGGGCCCTACAGCCCTACTTTGTATCTTCAACAAGTTTAAACCAACTCATCTCTATTAATTGATAAGACAAAGCAACTGTTTGTGACAGCTGAGTAATCTTCATTAAGAGACTGTTCCAGGATAAACATATATTTGTTAAGGGAGTGTTCTTTTAAAACTTAAAGTTTTTACAACATTTATATTTTGCTATAACATCTTTATCTCTGTTTGCCTGTTTGCCTGTTTGTTTGTTTGTTTGTCAGTTCATAACTCAGCAATCCCTGGACCGATTTGACTGGGAAACTCTTTAGGCCCCCGGACATGTTATTAGCTTAGTTTTAAGATTCAAAGTGGAGTGGGTCGACTTTTATCGGGAAAAATTTCTACAATCGTAATTTACGACAAGGGGCGGGTAATCTGTGGGACTAACTATGACTCCCCTGGGTATCACTGGGTTCCCAAGCTAGTATAGTTGTAATCTCTTGTTGTCTGTCTATTTGTATGTCTGATCATAAGCCCCTGGACCGATTTCCCTCAAATTTTGATTGGGGAACTCGAGAGAACCACGGAAATGTTTGTAATAAAAAAAACTCTCAGAATAACTTTAAGTACAAAACAAACATGAGTGACTCTATCTACTCGACTTGATGCTACCGCTAAGAAGTTTTGCACACAACTAACTTTTATCAAGGTACAACGATATACAAAATCTAAGCGGTCAGCATACGAAATCAAATATATTTGCAAGGATATTATGAACAATAAGTATATTTCATTATAGTGCTATATGAACGATATATCCATTTTGTTACATGTGCTTTGTTTGATTTTGATTCTAAATTAAATGGGTCGACTTGCAAAGGGCAAAAAAAGCTAAAATCGTAATTTACGACCAAGCATGGGTAACAGGAGTAATTATAAACACCCTGGGTAAGGCTGCAGGTTCTCAAGCTAGAAGCACATAATATTTTGGGTCTAAAATTACTACTAATATTTATGTGAGTCGAGAGTATAATTTCAAGTTGAAGCCAAGCAAAGTTTAGTTTTAACTTTGAAAAAAGAAAAGATTTATTTAAAGTTTGAATGTTTGTGTTTCCTAAGATGTATATTTGTGAAACTTATCCTTAAACCTAGGAACACATCAAAGCAATGATTTCTTCTTAAAACTGAACAGAAAGAAAAACCTGACCGAGTGTTTTAATAATATTAAGACCGTCAAGAAAATTTTTATTATTTTAAAAAGTTTTCTTTCTGCATTAATCAGTTTTTACAGTATTTTTTTCTGTTTATTGTTTAAAGGTCCATGGGTGAAAATTTGCACAAACTCTTTATTTCTTTGCAACCCGATGTCGTAGAACTTATTTCTGATGGATTAAATATTCTAAGATTGAAATATCTAAGGTCTACGCCATCTAGTTGCAAAGATATAGGGATTAGACAATTTGAGTCTGTGGCAGACTCAATTAATTTGGCGTTTAATTGGCATTTTAGAAGATACTAATTTGTGGCTTTAGGAAAGTATAGGAAAGTATAGGAAAGTATAGGAAAGTATAGGAAAGTATAGGAAAGTTAGGAAAGTATAGGAAAGTATAGGAAAGTATAGGAAAGTATAGGAAAGTATAGGAAAGTTTACAATGTTCGCAGAGCAGTAACTAGAAATTGGTTGAATGTATGTCGTTTTGATATTTGTATCAGGGTTATTTATTAAAAAGTGCCCTAAACATTTACATGCAAATATATGTGATACAATAACAATGTAGAAAGTTCTATGCATAAAAGATAGATTTGTTTTTATATTGGGCAATTGGTATCACACACGCCTCACATCCCCTACATAATATATATGTGCAGAAAAGAAAAATCTAATACAGCCAAGCCACAAATAAACTTACTTTTTAAATGAGTGTTTATCGGGTTTGTAGTACTGACTTTTCTGTACAGAAAAAAGGTCCAGGGCACCTAAACAAATTCCAAGCTAAAATCAAAATTAGCAGAATTTTTTCAGTAATTCTGCTTAAATTTAATATTTGTGGTTTAAAATAGAAGCTTCTGCAAGTTGATTAAAGAATTTGCGCATTCAGAAATCAGATTATGACTGTGTCAATATATATTTTTTGGCAATTTTCCCCCACGTACGAATTACGATGCAGATTATAGAACGATAAAAACTGCTGTAAATTAACTATTTTTTACAATTTATTAGTAAATATGGGCATGGCGTGGGATTCCAAATTATAGAATTACTTTGATCTCAAAGATCTTCCGTTAAAGTATACCTTTGCAAGGGAAATTATTGCAACCACGTGTTTCAACTGAATGCCCTGTACATAATCTTGTTCTACAGATTCTCGTCTTCCTCTGCTCGCCACCTAATCAATTAATCAATTAATATTTTCAAAAAGGCATTTTAGCTATCCTATCGGTTTCACTAAGCTTTGTGAAAATTTCATTCTAAGATGATTCGAATTCAATCATTTTCACAGCTCTTTGAGTCTGAGTAATAACAGTTGAACCAGGCTAAAACTGAATCAGGACTAGGATTTCTAGCGAAAGACAACTTTCGCGAAAAAATGCTAAATTTCGCAAAAATTTCTTTAGTAATTTGCAAACTTTTCGCGATAATTAATATTGCGAAAACGATAGGGAAATTCGTGAAAAAATACAAATATGCGAAAATTTGTGAAAAATGTGAAATGTTTGGCTAAACGATTTCGGACTGGATCTGGATTGTTTGGCTTTATTCTTGGATTGTATTTGTTAGGCATTATTTCTCCAACTGGGAGCTACAGGGTGTCCCACGAAACATGACAATAGCAAGACGACTTGAAAGTCGTCTTTGGTATTTGAATTTATTTGTGACATTTAGTCTTCTATCTACTTTAACATGTATGATTCTTGAAACAATTATCACATAATTCTCCTAGCCCTGGCATTTCCAAAAAGTGGTCTGCGTTTTTTGTGATTTCAATATTACCGGAGATATAAAGAGTTTGGTTCAGATTTCAATTTTGTTAAATAAAAGCAAAATTGTCGAAATCTGAACGAAATTCTTCATATCTCGGGCAATATTGAAAGCACAAAAAAGGCAGACCACATTTTGGAAATGGCAGAACAAGGGAAATTTTGTGATTATTATCTCTAGAAATTTACTTCTAAAATTAGGTTGACAAATAAACGCAGCAAATTATATCAAAAATCAAGACGACATTCAAGTCGTCCTGCATACTGTCATGTTTCATGGGACACCCTGTAGTATTATTTTTGAATTCCCAACTACGAAAAGTCTTCAACAATTTTTTACTAACATTAATAAATTTCTGCTTCATTTCCTGAACATTTTTTTCCTTGTGTAGGAATATTTGCTGTTACATATATAGGGCTTCCCACAGTTGAAAGAGCTTAAAAATATTTTAGAATCTATAAATACAATTTGTGCATCCAATTTTTATGAATAAAAGAGGTGACATTGAAATAAATATGTGTACATTGTTTTTTCTATTAAAGGAAATTGTAAACAAGAAATACATTTGGTGAAATCCTTTCTATTTTTTCTTGGTTAGTCTCACAAAGTTTATATCTTTTGTTTACATTAAATAGGACAGTGAAAGGGGGGGGGGTGCATGCTTAAGGGAAAGAAACCCTAGTGCAAAACAGGAAAAATATCTGTCTTAATAAACTCTATAATGTGTGAAAAGTTAAAAATCTAGTTTTTTATTCTTTAGTCATTAATTTTGACTCTTTTTGAGTCTTTTAAGTAAAAAAAATTTTCGCATGCGGCGCGATTTTTTGTTCCTAATTATGAATTTTTTTGTTCCTAAAAAATCTTGCCCCAACCACACTTAAATCCTGTATCCGCCCCTGTACACAATATCAATTTAAAGATTTTAAAAAACAAAAAAATGTTATTTATTTTTGCTATGACATCTATTTTAACATTTAGGGGTAGCGCAAGGTTTTTTAAATACTCATATGCCAGTACAGAGAATTAGAGACCATTTTGCGGGGCTCATGGCGGCCCTGCACCCCCTCCCTCATTTGGATTGCTTTCACAGATTTAGGAAAACTTTTCTTTTGTTATATGAAACACACTCAAGAAAGGAGTTCATTTTCAGGCATTGAAATTTTAAAGCTTAAAAATCCAGGCATGGTGTTTAGTTCAGCATCTATTACAGTCATTGGATTTTTTAAAACTCCATTGTTACATTTTATGATTTTTAATTGGCCTGTTGGATTAATTCCGAATGACCCTCCATGCAAAGCTTTGTCTGATCAAGTATTTAATTAGATATGTTTAAACTGTTTTTTTGTGGTTTCTCTGAAAAAGTGAGTTGCGCATTTCTTGCTTCTCAGAAACAATGGAGAAATTCGCAGAAATAAACACTTTTCGGGTCAGAAAAACGACGGATTCTTCTTAATTTTTTTTATCAGAATACGGTTTCAAGGATACCGTATTTAAGCAGACATTGCTATCTTTGCATGAAGGGTCAATTAAAATTACGCTTACAGTCTCTTTAAGTTTTTAAATTAAACTTTTAAGCCAAAAATTCACGTTGGAATTTAGTTCAATATCGAAAAAAAAATACCTCCACAGGAGCTGGAGCATTGAGTCCAGTCGGCCCACTGCTCCCAGCCTGAAATAAAAAATAAAAAATAAAATTTAAAACAATTAAATAATATATATAGATATCTGAATACAAGCTGATGGAAGGGATTGGATGAAAGTTTACAGATAAAAATTACCAAATCACTCTTTCACGAAATAATTCATAGTGATGGTATTAATTCTGTATTTAAAGTTTATCTGATAATCAAATACAGGGTGTCCCATGGGAATTCAGTGACGAATTCGATATCGTCTTTTTAACTAATTCTTTGATTTAGTATAGTGATACCTACTGAGAAAGCTGTAATCTGTAAGAGTTCCGTCTGCTATGTTCACATTTTTTTTGTTTATGTTTTGACAGCATACGGTTTTAGTAAAACAAGAAAATTGCAGTTTACAAACAGAGTAAACTTGTCCGTCTTCACTGTTCATCTTACAGAGACATTATAGACACATATTTACAGTCTTTTACCCTTTTCATAAAATAAACTCTAGCAGACATAATAATATTATGGCTTTTGAAATTTGGTATTACAATGCCAATTCATAACAAAGACGATATCGAATTCGTTACTGAATTCCCATGTTTTTTGGGACACCCTGTATCTGAATCCAATATTCAGCTATGCGTCATATCTGTTGTTTAGATTATGTAAACAATTTCTTAAAATTACTTCTAAGGTCGAAATCTTGAATGCTTGATCTTGATATCTAATGTGGGCACTTTTAAATTTAAGGATCAATGCTTGATTCTTCAATGAAAGAATTATATAAATCCATGAATGAAGATCGATGCTTGACCTTGAAATTCTGACTTCTGATGTAAAAATGTTGTTTCTAAAACTCTCAACCAAGTTGTTTAGAATTAAAATCTGGTAATTTGAAAAATTGTCTAATCTCAGCTAAATGCAATTCATGGGCTGTAAAATTGAATCTTCAATTTTAAACTTCAATATTCCCTGGAAAGCAGAAGGGGAGGGGTGGTTTTTTTTATGTGAAAGATGGATCCCATGTCAGGCTTTGACATCCGTCTTGTGTTTACATTACCGCCCAGAGACAGTACACTGCAGTACAAAAGATGTGTACACTTCTGAAATAAGTTTCCTTGCATTACATCCTTGGTCACAAGTTATAAGGAAACAGACATTAAACACTCCGTACAGTCATCTCTGAAGTCTCATCCTTTGCGCTTTCTTTAGCAAAAATTGCGCATAGACAATTAATCACATATATTTGCCAGGAAACATTAATGCTTTAAATACAGCTGGGAAAATAAAGTGATAATTCGGGAGATAAAGTGATCAGCCGGGACAATAAAATGTGTAAGGCTGGAACAAAAAGTGGGTGTTAAAAACTAAAGTAATAGAGTCGGGATGAGTCACTGGGATATGCAATCATTTAAGTAATTTTTAATGAATATATATTTAATATTAGGAATTCCACTTGCACTTGGTGTGTAGATGGTATATAGCTGGATAACTTATCTCTACAAACATAAAATTGAAATGGCATGCTACAACCAGACATCGCATTTGTAAGACATTCCAGCGTCTCAGTTGTTATAGATTTCAAAAGAATAATGGAAATGTTTGCATCATTGCGCTATATATATAACCGCATGTCTAGCACTTTTGATTTAATAATAATAAATATAAGGACTCACCACAGTGGCCCTCAAAATACATCACGTTTAAGCATACAAAATATCGGCAATATACCATATCTCTATGAAAGTTTTGACCATGCCAAGGAGATAATAAATAGAAGGAGGGGGCGATAGGGTTTCCGTACACTTTGCTGTGACGTTTTTGGACTGCTGAAGAACTAGTTTTTGCGTAACAACAATGATAAAGATTGTAAACAATAACACAAATGATAAACAGACATCTGGCATCTTTGGCGCGTTAGATGAAGATTCACCGTATTCTAACTCATGTTTGTTTACATTAGATCGGCTGCCTTTGTTATTATTGTTACGCAAAAACTAGTTCTTCAGCAGTCCAAAAACGTCACAGCAAAGTGTACGGAAACCCTATCGCCCCCTCCTTCTATTTATTATCTCCTTGGCATGGTCAAAACTTTCATAGCTAGAGATATGGTATATTGCCGATATTTTGTATGCTTAAACGTGATGTATTTTGAGGGCCACTGTGGTGAGTCCTTATATTTATTATTATTGAATGATATTGATATTTTGTTACTCTTTTAAAAGTCTTCTCCACAGTTTTTAATGCTGAGTAGATTATGATTTATTCGATTACAATGTTTATTGAATATTAATTTACTTAAAGCTTTTTCTGTGGTATTAATTTTGTGTCCGATCTATATGATATTAATTTATAGATTGAATCCTTGAATAAACCTAGAAGACTTATCCTGAGTTATTATGGAGAGATCATCTTTTAGAAGAGAGGGTTCCAATTCAAAGATCCGTTGGAATACTACACGATATAACCTTATTCAATTTTAAGCAGCTAGGGTAGTTGCGAAACACGACCAATATGAGTTATTTCATGTTACAGCTTCTGATTGGCTGTTTGGCTTGAGTAAACGGCACTCTAGCTGTTTTATTGGTACTGTATATATCAAATAAAAATTAAATTAATCTGCAGATTAATAAAAAAATTGATGATCTCCAGAGTGCGAAATTAATTAATTTAAGCCGTGTCTCAAATTCGCCAAAAACCAATTTCAATTGAGCGCCACCTAAAATATTTGAGCCTCGTCTTAAATTTAAGTAGCGGCAGAAATTCATTGAGAAGAGTTATAACATGCAATTTCTTTATTTTAACGCGATTCAGAGTAGCTGCAGCTAGAACTGTAGCACCAGCTTATTGTAAACAAAGTACATTCCCGTGGTTGTTCCAAGTTCCCCAATCAAAATTTGAGGCAAATCAGTCCAGGAGTTCATGAGTTATGATTGGACAGTCAAAAAAAACGGAGATTAGAAATTCACATATATATATGTAGATATAGATATATATTTACCTAGAAGTTTATATATATGTAGATATAGATATATATTTACCTAGAAGTTTATATATATATGTAGATATAGATATATATTTACCTAGAAGTTTATATATATGTAGATATAGATATATATTTACCTAGAAGTTTATATATATGTAGATATAGATATATATTTACCTAGAAGATTATATATTCTCTTGTCTAGGTTGGATGAGTATGGGATGATAGCTCCCGGGTTTGGATCAAGGTTCAGTTTTCCATTATGATACTTGAGAAGAACAATGAACTCCTGAGAAATTATGGAATTAATTATGTAGATTCAAAATACGTATTGTTCAGTTGGTATCTTGTGTGGAGGAACTTTTTATTTACTTACTTACTCCAAGAGATTTCATTGGAGCAACTACCAAAGCTCCCTCCTCTCGCCCCCCCCCTTAGATGTACTTTTAAACTTTTTATATTTTTATTACAATTACTAATAAAATCAAAATTCTATAAAAAAACTCTGAATAACCTGTTTTGAATGAAGTTGGACCGTATTCGCACACACATCATCTAGATCCACGGACACCCTTCTACAAACAAACAAAGTCAAGACTCACCAGATTTGCTAAATAGCGACAAAGAGATATGCATTTGTTAATAAATTCCAACCTCAGAAAATTTGGAAAGGGATTTAAAATATGTTAAAATTATATTGTATTATAAATAATTTTGTTAATTCCTCAACCTTGAATAAAAGATTAATTGAAAAGATTGATTCTTAAATAACGTCGATACATGAATAAATATCTAGATCTTAAAAAAAAGATTCTTTAGATTGGTGAATAATGAAACGTTTCAGCTGATAATAACTGATGATCACTATTTTCCAGTTCGTGAAATTTTAGAGTTATATCATATCATATCATATCATATTATATCATATCATATCTTATCATATGATATGATATCATATGATATCATATCATATGACATGATATCATATGATATCATATCATATCATATGATATTATTATTTGGCGAGTTTAACTGATTGAGTTTAACTCATCAAAAATCACTAAGGTTAAGTTTAACTCATTTAGATTAGTTTAACTCATTGAGGATTAGATTAACTCATTTAGGATGAGTTTAACTCATTATGGTTAAGTTTAACTCAAATCTAAATGAGTTAAATTCATTTAGTATGAGTTAATCTCATTGACAATGAGTTTATCTCATTGAATGAAATTATGGATGAGTTTCCATAAAAATTAGGGAATCTTTAAAAAAACTAATGTATATTTGAACAAGAGAATGTAAAACATTAAACTGTAACTGAAAGTGGAAAAAGTTAAGAATTAGTCAAAAGTTGTCAAAAAGTTTTTACATGAGATTAAGAAAGAGTTAAGAAAGAGTTAAACTTTAAAACCGAAAAAAGTCAGAAGTTTGTAAGTTTAGAATAAGGATAAATGTCACTCTAAAAAGTGTCAAATTTGTTACAGCACCGGAGCCACAATTCTTAAAAATGTTAAGGACTGTTAATGAATGATAAACTCATTTGAATTTTGCTCCGGTGCTCCAACAAATTTTGTTAGATGATAATTTGACATATCTTAGAATGTTCAATAAACATGAAATAAAAAAATTTATAACTGAGCTGAAAACTTTAAAATGGTGGATATCGAGACTAATGCTCGATCTCCTCTTTTTCTTAATCTCCAGATTAATTAACCGATCAGGATTAAGGATATTTCACTCAAAAGTTTTCAGCTCTGATCAAATGAAACAGATGGATTTATCAAATAAAGCGTGAGGATTTAAGATATTGGTTTTCTTCTCAGTAGGCATGATAAAGTTATCATTACAAAAAAAGTAGCAAAAAGGAGAATAAAGGTAAAAAAGGAGAATAAAGGGAAAAAGGGAGAATAAAGGCAAAAATGGAGAAAAAAGGGAAAAAGGAGAATAAAGGGAAAAAGGAGAATCAAGGCAAAAATGGAGAAAAAGGGAAAAAGGAGAATAAAGGAAAAAAGAAAAAAAGGAGAATCAAGGGGAAAAAAGAGAAAATAGGAGAAACAAAAGAAAATACACTAAACAGGGGAAAAAATTACTGAAAGGTACATATAGGATTATTAAAAGAAAAGAGGAGAAAAAAAGAGAATAAACGAAGATGGAAAAAATGAAAAAAATAAAAGGAAAAAAATATCATAGAAACAAATATTAAAACGGAAGAGACAGTAGGTAATATTATCTTATAAGAAAGAATTTTAAGTTTTTTTCTCTATCCACGTCATTCCCTCCAAGAAAACAGAGAAAAAAAGGGAAATTAGAGTATAAACTAGTTTGATATATTCAGACAGAAAAACAAAGAAATCCCCGATATCTTTTCTAATCTAGAAGTTTAAATGTTACAATAATATTATTAAAATATGTGTCGACTATAACTTGAAGTTGGAACGTATTTGGAATATCTCTCTATTTCATGTGGATACTGGATATATATTTTATACACAGTGTACAGTGCTATGCTATAACCGATGACAAAATAATTGGCATCACAAATATAAAGAAATGATATTCTAAAACGATATATTCAAAAAACAATGATGAATCCAGAAAATAATTTAATTTTGCTGTTCTTATCATCTTTTAATGTAGCACTTAGTTCGAAGAAGAATATTTAGTTAATGTTAGAACAAAACCTTCTCAAGACTAGAAATATCCAGATCTGACACCATAGGTTTGCTCTGAATATTTGCTCTGAAACATATTTGCTTAAAAGTTTACTAGTTCTATATAGTGTTCAGAGTATTTGCTCAGGGAGCCTGGTCCAAGTTTATTTTCAATACAAACCAAGCAACCAAGTTTTATTCAGAATCTTTATCTTATTTTTTAGATTTTATATTTTACTTCTATCATTAATCTTCAAATCTAGCCTCTGGGGTTTCCTATTTCTTCCGGGTTAATTTGATTCTGTAGAGGCCATACATATCTACCCTCTAGATACTACATGATGAATACAGTTTACTGGCCGATTATTCCATATGGAATTAATCCGGAATAGTCGTCCAGTAAACTTATTTTTAGCACGTCACACCTAGCTCTTTGTAGTGGTAGATTTAATCTAAATTTCAGTATTAAAGATGCCTCCCTACATTTCCAAAAATTTTTAACGCCCCCCCCCCCCAGTCACCTTTTTTGATCCCTTAGGAAAATTCTTTTAGTAAAAGTATAAACTTGAAAAACCTAAAATTAAGTCTTTGCCACAAACTCTAATTTTCTAATCCCCATATCTTTGCTACCCAATGTCATAAACCTTAGACATTTCAAAATGTGAATTCTTTTAGTTTGAATAATTTCAGTTTGACATATAAATGGTTTACACTATGAGGTTGCAAAGATATAGGAATTATAAAGTTTGCGTTTGTGCCAAAACCTCAATTCCTTTGCAACCCAACGTGTCGTAGACCTTAGATTTGAAACTATGAATTCTGTTAAAAATAAATAATCTAAGTTTGAATTATTAAAAGCATATACCATCAGGCTGCAAAGATATAGGGATTAGAAGTTTGAGTGGCGGAGATTCAATTCCTTTCAGAGAAAGACAAGAGATGATACTGTGGACCTGGTGAATGTAGATAAAAACAGATTTGATATCATCTAAGTGTTTTTAATATTTTAATGTCTTTAAGGGTTTATGGGATGCATATATGTTATCCATTCTTTAACAATTCATCTGTATTTTGTACAGTGAGAACCAGAAAACTGTGGAATAGGAAGACGACATTAAGGCAATAGTTAAGTGTATTTTTGGTGTTACTAAGCAAATACTTATATAATCACTTATTAACTAAAATGGGTCTGTTTACACTGCACAACTGCTGTGTTTAATAGACTAATTCAAGTCATAACTTGAGTCTAAAAGTCGTCCTCCTATTCCAGAGTTTTATGGTTATCACTGTATATAAATATTCAAGTTCACGTAAGTTTCCAATACTTTATAAATTATTTCATGTTCAATATTTAACTTTATATTTCAGATTACATGTATTTTACCAAACGTTTCTCAGAACTTTCAATGGTTCCTTTTATAGTATTGGATTTCTATACTTGACAAACTGTTGGCAGAAATAGAATTAAAATATGAACAATCTCTCAGCGGGACAGAGCCATGTGAGTTAAATTAGGGCACATTCAGCCTATTTTTAAACCGTTCGTTAACGGTTGGTTAAAACACTGTAAGAAGTAACTTTTCAGGTATCCGTTCGTTCTTAGCTAAGAACGAATGTTTCCTTCAATTAACAAGCTAGTTTTCTCGTTCTCTTTGAAAGTTGCCGTTCGTTTACTATCTTAACTATTTGAATGGCGTTAACGATTGATTTGTTAGAAATTGTTAACTGTGCCAGCCGTTAGGTTTTATGCAATTTGTAGACGCTTTTATTTTATATGCAATTTTTTGTCTTTGTTATTTTCCGTTTTTTTATTTCATGAATGGTTATTTTCTGTCGAAATTAACGGTTTTTCCATTCGTTACCGGAATCTTCTGTAGAGTTTTGGAAATCACCGGGGTGGAATATTTTTAGAGAATAATAAATACCCCTGAATATCCACTTGACCAGCTCTTTGAACTTAATAGATTAAATGTTCAGTTGAGCACAACAAATAAATTGTATTTAATTGTATTCAAATTAAAAATTCCATTTTATTGAGTTAAATATTTAAATATTTAACTTTTTTGTTCAAAAGTTGTTCTAAGAATGTCCCTGGGGAAGTATATATCATAAACTAGAGGAAACAAAATACAAGACCAAACTAAATTTATTCCTGAAGGAGAGGGGAAAGAGATTTTGATAACTTTTTTTGTTTCTTCTTTAGTTCTATGCATATATTTGTTTTACTTTAGAATCCGCACAAATTACTTCTTCAAAAATTGCGAAAGATCAATTACCTAAAGGCTACATCAAGGGCGTATGCAGGGGGGGGGGAGGAAGTCATTTTATGATATAAAAAAGTAGCATTTTCAAGGTATTTTGGACTATACGTGCCGTCTTTAAGTGTTTTATATGTGCGTGATACTCAAACTAAATTTAAAGTTAGAACTTTGCGCTTCGCGCAATTTAAGCCCCCCTAGATTTCCTATCTTGGAGATCATATAGTTGAAAAAAAATAAATTAAGCAATTTAAAATGTGCTAAACATTTGGATCGAAAAGTAAGAGAAATTCTGTAGTGGTGTGGGATAAAATATACAAGAAGGGGAGGGGGGTTAGATGAAAAATATTAAAAAGGGGTTGAACAAATATTTTTACTTACATATCCTGCATGCTTACATCATAGAGGTGAGTGCTAGGCAGACCCAGATAGACAGATAACTTGTCTCCACCTTCAAATAAATATTCATAAATAAATTCAAAAATAAATAGAAATAAATAAATAGATAATCTGGGAAATAAAATAACATCAGAAACTAGAGTTTGGCATTCGTATCCGTTTTTTAAGGATTTAGGATTTTTAAACTTTCAGAAGACTCCACAAAAATCTGAGACAACTAGCATTTTTTTAAATTGTATTCCAATAAAGTTTGCTTTTATGAAGCATCCTAAACCAAAAATGTTAAAACATCTAAAATAAAAAGGAAGAAAAAACAATGCCTGACTTCTGAAAAAAGAAAGAAAAAAAACTATGCCCATTTTTATCAGAAAGACGATAAAACCCTAACAAGATGTACTGAAAGTTAGAAAAGAAAAATTTGAAATGGCAGAAACTAAAAATGTTATAGAATCTTTCAGAAATGTTGAAAAATATTATAGAATCAAGATGACAATTTTATATATATATCTCTTAGATTTTTATTTGGACTTTATCTAAGTGTTTTAAAATAGTTTTTTTTGCTGAAGATTTGAGTATTTTTAACAATTCAATGTGTTTTGGCCGGTTAAAACTTGTACATCACTGACAAAAATAAGTTAGGAATGTAAATTGTAAGCATAAATGGAAAACACTATGATACAGTGATAACCACACATAAATGGCTCATTTGGCGTACGGTCCCATCTTGCCCTGTATAATCAGCTAGTGTACTGTACAGCCTGCTCTAGCTGTTTAAAACCCAGCACGGTACTTGAAATTAACCGGATTTTCAATATTACAGTGACCAGAAAACAATGGAATTATAAGACGACAGTATATCAATAAAATATCAATACAAAGCCAGACACTTATTAAATCATTGATTTGATAAAATGGGTCTGCTTACACTGCACAATTGCTGTGTCTCGTGCTCCTCGGACTTTTAAAGTTAAAACTTGATTCTAAAAGACGTCTTTCTATTTCAGAGTTTTCTGGTTCGCACTGTATCAAGGACAATTTGTCTAGTTTGTTGAACTCCTTTATGTTGTGTAACCCAATTGATAAAAAACAAAATGAATTCTGTTTACAATTTTCGCCATATCTAAAATCATTATAAAAATGCAGAAGAAAGTTTTATGAAAGCAAAATTGTTAGTTAACCATATCAGATCAGAAAGCTAGAAAATGTTAAATTGGATTTAGATAATATTTTATTTTACCATGGATATATAAAACAAACAGATATATTTACTTCCCTTAAAAACATTTAACAATTAAACAAGTTTTAAAAATAAAGTTTAAATTGAATAAAATTAAATTAAACTAAATACTAATTAAAACCCAATGGTTTCATCGAACCATATGTTTGATGTAAACTTTTCCTAATTAAGCTAAATGATATGCAGAAGATAAAAGTAATTATAAAACTAGGAATTTGAATTCTTTCTTTTTAAGAAGATGAGATAAGCAATAAGTTTTATGAAACTATTTTGTACTTTATCATTCTTACTCACTTCATCGTGAATTTCATAAAGTAATCATCGTGCTATAAAGTAATCATCGTGCGAATCGTGCTATAAAGTTAAATTAGCTGTACATAAAAGCACGTGTGCTAAAAAGTTTTGAATAATTCCGGATTTTCTTTAAAAAAATTAGGATATTACCAAAATATTTTTTTTTCAATCGAAATGAAAATAAAATTAGAAAATCAGAGTGTGTGGCAAATCATCAATTCCTTTCTTAGTTGAGTAAGTTTAATTATATAAGGAAAACTCCAGGTAAAGCAGGTTATTTAATCCAGTTTTATAAAAAGCCGAAACTTGATTTTGATTTATATATTTACCAATATTTTAGAAAAATAGAAAATTATTCCAAATCTTGACTGATTTTATTTGATTTTCATTATTCTCATCTATTCCCTGGAAGCCCGGAGGATTATGAGTATTTTCAACCATATAATTAATTAATTAATTTGGAATTAGGGTTTCTGCACAATCTTAGGAATAAACTAAACCAAGGAGGTTAGAAATATGATTGTTAAATTTTAGAATAAACCAAGGTTTTTAGAATACAAGGACCTAATCGAATGAACTTGAGCTGCATCACTGAACTACCGTTCTAAATTTGAACCACTGATTGAAAGGTAACGATTAAGAAAGATTTTAATCGACAGAAAGTGTATTACAGTGTATAAGTATAAAAGTAAAAAAAATCAAGGAATCGATATTTTTCTTTTTTTTTAACTTGCAGTTTCAGATTTACAAAATGAGAAGAAAATTGCTGAATCTCTAAAACGCCAGAATCGATTGAAAATACCAAATATTTCAGGATATTGAATTTAAAAAAGTTTCTTTCATAGAATTTTTTTCCTAAAGATTATTTTTAGGAAATATTTAAAAACATCCGAAATAGAGGTTGTGGGAATATTTCCCCCAAATTCTAAAATAATAAAAAAATAAAAAATAAAAAATGGAATTCAACGGAAAAGGAAAGAAAAGGAAAAGGAAAGTTTCATATTAATTGTTTAATTTATAATCAAACCAGTGGTGGATTGTTAGTATTTTTTGACGATGAACTAACAACTTTTAGAAATAAATATGATATATTTGTAATGTTAAAAAAAATTAAAATAGGCTTTATAGGTTATGAAAAATATAAAGGTTCTAGGCAAAACGGGCATTTTAAAGCATATTTTTAATTCGCGTCGATTTTTGACATTCTTCATGTTTAATTATATCTTTTACTATTTTTAATCTTTTTAGTCTTTTCTTTGTAAAATCGTCTTTGCTTTCTTCGATTCTTTTGCAAACATCTTTGCGTGAAGGATTCCTTGAACTTACACTTACAGTCCCTTTAAGATAAAATTTCATCTTTATATATCTAAGGAAATTTAAATGAATGCATTGTAAACACCACATTCGATCTTTAACAAGAAATTTGTTCAGAGCTGAAAACTTTAGAATTTTGGATATCGAGATCAATGCTTTTTCTACTCTTTTGTTAATCTGAAGACTTACTCAATCTTTCGTTAAAATCCGGGATATTGTCCAAACTTCAACAAATCAGGTGTTGTTTGTATAGACTGAACCGCCAACCAGAAGCTAAGAAATTTCCAAATTATGGCGCGCAAATGAATGAACTCTTATTGGTGCAAAGACAGTAGGGATATCCAAAAGAGAGGATTAAGTAGAAAATCAAAAGTGTCCAAAGTGGATACGAGATTTAGCAATAAGGAATAGGGTTTCCCCCCTGTGATCACATCATATGTATAAGTTGCTTTAAATACATTTATATGTATATATTGTACTTAATTTTTAAAAAACCTATTATTTCAATTTTTTATCAATCCAGATCAAAAAAATCGTTTGAAGATCTTAAAATAATAATTTAAAAATGTGTAGAGGCTTTAAATTTTTTATTATAATTTAAAGAATTTGAATTTAAGCCGCGGCTTTTACATATACATTATGTGAGTGAGGCTCAAATAGTTTTTGCCTTCCTTTTGCTATCAAGGAAATGATTCCTTCCCTCCCTCATCCAGGAAATAGAATTCATAGATTTCGAAGAATATCCAATTCAGGAAAAAATCATAAAAATTGCATAAATGCAAATATATTTTGCACACTTGTTATGCAAATGGACAGAAATGCAGAGCTTAGCACACGCATGGAAACCTTTGCAATCTATTGAATTATAACAGAGTGTATTAAAAAAATAAAAATTTATTTAATCACACAAGCTCATTAAAAAAATAAAATCCTCAAACCCAACAGTTTGGAATTCTAGGTGTATGGTTTATTATCAAAAAGTCGTTCAATGGTAAACCCGCTGAAAATATAATTTTGTATTACTAACTTACTGTAACTATTAAAAAATTGGCAGAAAAAATGACGGTCACTTTTAAAGAATAAAAGTTGAGTAACAAATATATAATTTGATTAGAAAAAAGGAAACTCAATTGTCTTTCATATTAGCTGCCAAAATTTATGATTATATCGTTACAGAAGATGCCGCACTGAAGCGCAAATAATTAGGACACTTATTTTGGACGCACATTTATGACTAGGAATAGTTAGAATGCACGCTTGAGGAATCACAATGAAGACGCACATAAAATTGAAGACGAACACGATTGATTGAAAACCGCAATCTCCCACTGTAAATGTATTGTTTAGAATTCAGGGTCCATTTTGGACACAATAGTTAGAACGCACATTGAGGACGCACATTGAATTGAAGACGACCACAAAAGGAAAAATGTTGTGATCTATCATTGTAAGCATGATCTAGGGACCAGAGAGTCCTATGAGGACGCAGCAGGTGGAATGCACATTATCATTGAAGACGACCATATTTGGAAGAATGCCGAAATCTACCTTTGTAAACGTAAAGTATCCACAGTTCAGCTGTTGTTTGAGTTTTCTCCGTTACAACTGCTTTCACCGCCACTGAAGACCTTACAACGCGCCTAAATAAATCTTATTTTAACTCTTATATCCGGTCATTTTTTTATAATTCTCGCATTTTGTTCACAGCATTTTCAAAAAAAGTTTTTTTTTTTAATTGATCGATAAAATTCCATGATTATGTTCCAAATTAATTTTATTTCTAAATGAAACGAACTAAGTTTCATGTCATACCATCTCATGTTCTAACATTTTACTTTTGCTGTTTGATCATAAAATATTATAAAATTATAGTACATCAAAAACGCATTTGTGTGTCTTAAGATACTAGGATTATTATATTACAGTGTACAAATTCTGAACTTTTCATTTGAACGTTGTTTGAAAATCCAGAAAATATAATGTTTCCAATTGATGTTGTTTATGTGGAGTAAACAGGTTTTACAAGAAAAGATTTAATTCTAGATATTGTGAAATAAACCTCACTAATTCTATTCTTAAATGATCCAACAATATATATTTCCCCATAAAATACTTTAACATGGTAAAATTCAGAATTCAGGGCGCTGCGAGTAGCTTTCTTGACTTTGAAACTTTTTATTAATTCTAGGAAAACTTTGCACAAACTCAAAGTGACTCCAGTAACTTTAAAGGGACTGTAAAGGAAAACTGAAAGGGGGTATAGGCTGAAACCTAAGAGTTGGTCGAAACCCTTGCGAGTTCTATCCGATGTTCCTGTCTAGAAAAATGGATAAAAACTGTGTCTAGCTTATACCAAAATCGGTATACACCAAATTTTGTATAAATATATTAGGATTGAACAGATCAAATTTAGCAAATACGCAACCAATCTGAAAACGACGATATCCCAGAGGAGCCTAAGTCACTTAGGTTTGCATCTATTATAATTTTGTAATTTTTATTTTTTATTTCTAATAGATATAATAATGGATTCCAGTTTTCCTGTTCCCGGATTTTCCTCATAATTTACGAGCATCCTTAACTTTCTCCGCTTTCAAAGCAATATAATAACTACGTCCGTATCATTTGACCAGAACTCTGGTCACGTGATACGGAAGTAATAATTATATTATCAATTTAATAAATTTGACACTGTTTTTTATCAATTTCTCGAGTCAGGAACATCAGATAGAATTTGCAAGGGTTTCGATTAACTCCTAAGTAACTTAGTTTTCAGCCTATACCCCCTTTAATTTTTCCTTTACAGTCCCTTTAACGATAAAGAATATTGACAAATCACATTTAAAAATCCTAGCAATTAAAATGATCAATGGGCGCGTTTCTAGTCCAAGTCACGATATTAATGCACACACAACAATTTGCTATTGGGTCAAAGCAACATAAGAGATAATGCCTTTCGATCTAAATTGGACATATCATACAGTGGTATCAAGAAAACAGTGGACGGATTGTCAGTCTCGTTCTTTCTTTTAATCATAAATTTTTTATATTGGTTTTGGTAGTTTGTTCGGTTCAAGTGATGTACCAATTTTAAGGTAGCTATAAAAAAGTTGTACAATACATTTTATAGTTCAGAGGGTATAATGAGACAATACACCAAATGTATCAGCTCCTTAGTTTTAGGTTAGTTTGAATTGCTAATACTAATGTTTCTTGTGTTTCATTATCATAAGGAGAAAAGAAGACTACAATTTGTCCACTGTTTCCTGGTTATCACCACGGTACCACCCAAGTTTTATTTTCTCTCTATGTATTTTTCTAATGCTATTCAAGCTTATGTACAGGGTGTCCCACGAAACATGACAGTTGCTGAATATTTTAGAATGTCTTCTTCCATAATTTGTTAAGTTGTTTGATACCAAAGAAAATAATAATAAACTTTATATGGCAGTTTTATTTTAGTAAAATCGATCTCAGATTAAGATTTATTGGAGTAAAAGATTTTTTTTACGGAACTAAACTGCAAAAAGCCTTTATTAATCTAATCCAGTATTTGGAAGACGACATTCTAAACTAGTAATCAACTGTCATGTTTCGTGGGACACCCTGTACATATATCCTTTATAGGTTACTTTACCCAAGGGACAAGTTTCTACTCATAACATATTTAAGTATAAACATTGGATAAATATCGTATTTGAAATATTTGAGAATATTAGAGATTGTACAAACTTATAGCCATAGGCAGATACTTACTTGGGCAGAATGCAACTACCTGTCAGGTGGGTGGAAGCAACAACCTGTTAGGTGGGTAGAATGCAACTACTTGTCAGATGGGTAGAATGCGCGCAACTACCATTCAGGTGGGTAGAATGCAACACCTGCCAGGATTAAGGTGGGTAGAATGCAACTACCTGGCAGGTGGGTAGAATGGAACTACCTGGCAGGTGGGTAGAATGCAACTACTTGGGAGGTGGTTAGAATGGAACTACCTGTCAGGTGGGTAGAATGCAACTACTTGGCAGGTGGGATGAATGGAATTACCTGTCAGGTGGGTAGAATGCAACTAATTGGCATGTGGGTAGAATGCAACTACTTGGGAGGTGGGTAGAATGCAACAACTTGGCAGGTGGGTAGAATGCAATTACCTGGCAGGTGGGTAGAATGGAACTACCTGTCAGGTGGGTAGAATGAGGTACTGCAAATACCCAAAGTATTCTGAGCATAAGCTTGTAGAAAATAAACTAAAACAAACAGTTTCATTTTTATCTAAAACAATGATCGAAAAAAAATCATTGCTTCATTTTTTAGTTGCATTAAAAGTTATATGGTTAGATTGCGTGCAGTAGTAAAAACATAATTAAAAATTTATAATGGCAGCATTTAAAAATGTATTGAAGGTTTACACAAGTAAAAAAGGCTTCCAGGCCACTTCGCGACCCTCCTACTCTAAAAGAAAATAAAAATGCAAAATTTCGCTGAATTTCTTTTTTCATTGGTGAATTTCCAAAAAAAACTATATTATAATACATGCAATACACTTTCACTGGGGTCATGTACGTGGGATCTTACAAAAAATGTTGGCCCTTTAATTTTAGACATTTTTACGTTAACTGGGTACAAACAAACTAACTGACATGCTAAATATATATAGACAGAAGAAGAATTAAAAGCCACACACGAAAAAAGTCTAAAACTAAAACGATAAATAAATCATGATGTTTAGCTTTGTCACGTGTTTTTGAGTCATCATATGTTTGTTACAAAAAAAATTTTAGAAACGTCCATTTTTCTCTTTAAAGTTCATTTTAATTTTGAAAGTTCTTGGATAAAATTATTTTGGTGAATAACTTTTAAACTGCAAATTGCAATTTAAAAAGTGGTATATCTATATAATCAGGTTGATTTTAACCCTATCCCTGCTGGGTTACTTGAAAACCAGGATATACTGGGGGGGGGGGGTCAATTTGAACCCAATCCCCTAAATCCAAATGATGTCCAAATATGACAAATGATACATCATGGGAAAGTTCTCATGCTCTACTTTTAGTATCTGCAAAAAATTTGCAAATTTTCAAAAATTGTATTTTGTTTTGCAAAATCCTGTTAAATAGTAAAAAAATTTTGCAAAAAAATGTCCAAATAATGATATAATATACATTTTTAAAAAGCCTTTGACCATACCATTTCAATTTTGCAAAAAATTTTGCAAAATTTTAAAAAACCTGATGTGTAATTAAGAAAAACTAAAAATGAGAAAATTTCTTTTGACGGGTTGTATGCAAACAGTTCGCAAACATTTCTTTGCAAAACTTTTGCAATCCGTTTTCTTATGTCATAGGCTTTCCAAAAAGCTAAAAATGATCAAAATCTGACAACTGAAAGTGGGTAAAAATAAAGATTTAGTTTGATTCAGGAAAAAGTAGGCATTCAGGTTGTGTGTCTGAGGACTCAGGCAGTTAGTATGAAAGCCCGGTTTTAGACCTAAAGGGAGGGCTATATGGGTATTTAGGAAAAGTCAGACAATTTCAACTGCCTCAGACCAATACTTTTTGAGTTATGTAAAAAATACTACAGGGGGTTGGGGTCAACTTGACGCCCCCCCCCCCCAGTAGGAATACGGTTAACATTGGTATTCATGAAAAATTTGGTGACTCCTTTGAAATATTATAACACCAAAAACATTGGTTCTGTTCAACGGTCTGCTTCTATTAGGATTATTTTTCCTAAATATTTAATTTCATCGCACCAAAAAACTGTGTGTCTGTTTAAAGGTCTTTTGCTTAAATTTAGAAAATTTTACCAGAAAAATATTCTACATTGTTCATTCCAGGAATTTTATCGGAATTTGATTTTCAAAATTTAACAATATTTGAAAAATTATTTTTTTAACGAAAATTAGAATGAAAACATGCATCATTTGATGGCTTTAAATATTATTAATTACTCGCCCTTGTGGGGGGGGGGGGTTGTGAACATTTTTTAACCTTCATTTACTCGTGCATATTAAGTTACTTTTATAACATTTATATTCGAGCCATGGAATGTATTTATAATGATCATATGAGTAAAAAATACCCACAAAGACAACAAAAAATTAACTTTGTTCACAAAAAAATGTTTCTTGGTAGGAGTATAAACAAAAGTCTTCCCGAGCATTGTTTACGAATTACTTTTAGAAAATGCAGTACGATGGTTAATTAAATCTTTATAAACATTGATTCAAGAGAAACCATGTAGTTGCAATAGAAACAAAAAAGGGTTTAATGCACTTTTTAAACATTATCCATTTTATTTTGAGAACCTCTGTAATCCGGTTCGAAGGAACAAATTCACAAACTTTTAAATTTTATTTCCACTTTTACTTTTTATATTTCAAAGAACAAATTGTATTAAATTTTTCAAGATCTAAGCCGGCGCTCAATTGAAACCGGTTTTGGGGGATTTGAGACGCGGCTCCAATTTATTAAATTCGGACACTGAACAATCTTTGATCAACATTTCGATTATGCAAATATAAGAAAGAAAATAGAACTGTTCTTCTGAAAGCTTAGAATTGACTGGTTTCATACGGTATCCCCCCCCTCCCTCCCCCTACCTCCCTTCAGCCTCTACCGATATAGAGGCCGGGGGGCCGGGGATAGAGTTTAGGAATAAACTATTGAGATAACTCAGGATTATTTCCGGGACAATATTGAACATCGGATTAACTTCTCATGACAAATTTGTTCATATCCAGGGACCGAGTTTAATGAATTTGAGCTATGTCGCTGAACTACCCATTGCCGGTTCAAATTTGAACCACCGATTTAAAGTTAAAGATAAACTAAGGATTTAAATGATTTAAATTTGAATCGGCGGTAGGCAATTTAAATTCATTCTGAAAAACATTAGTGACTAATTATTACCTCATATTGGCGGGATGTTATATCACTTAATTAACAGTCCCAATTGTAATGAGATTGAGAATATTAAGTTTTCACGTAGATTTGACTTAAAGCAGCTCTCGCCGTCCTGTCCTGTTTCAGCTAAAGCAGGGTTATAGCCTTCCGAGCCCTTACATGTTTATTTGAATGTCGAACTCGATCTCTGGTTGACTGGACTGACTTTAAGGGTTACCGTTCGAGATATAGAGATTTAAGTCCAAACACTTTATAGCGCGTCGTGCCAAAGTTTTAAATAAAAAAAGCTTTGAAACAAAGCAGAAGGTTTATATATGATAATAATTTTTGAAAAAATGTGTTTTAAAGGTTTTTAATTTTGTAAAAAAAAATTAAATTCTTGAAAATCCGGAAATTTTTTTTAAAAATCCGCAAAAAATTTTTCTTCTTTGTTTTAAAATGTAAACAAAAAGAACATGTTCACAATTTAAATAGAAAATGGGCGCGAAGCGCCCTAAAAGCCTAGTATCCTAAATTCTTTGGAGAAAATCCGGGAGCCAATCAAAACTTTATAGCACACGTGCTATAATGTATTATGTACAGCTAATTTAACATCATAGCATAATGATTACTTTGTTGCACGTTCATTATGAAATTCAAGATGAAGTGAGGAAGATTAATAATGACACAATAGTTTCATAAAAATAGGGGATAAGGGAAAAGGGGATAAGATGACTCAAAATTCTTTTTCTCAAAATCACAAAGGAATGGAGTCTTTGCCACAAACTCAAATTTACTAATCTCTATATCTGTATAACATAGTTTGAAACATGTAACCCTGTAAAGTCTACGACATAGAGTAATAAAACGAAGAAGTGAAGCTTAGCTCAGATGTACACAACCAACCTCCCTATTAATTAATTAATAGAGTGGTCGGTTGTATACATCACGATATGTTTACGTATCTAACACTGTACACTTGTATGTAGAGTGATCGTATTTCTAAGAGGGATTTTATGGAATTTGACCAATTTTTAGATTTTCTTTCTTTATTTAAATCCATATTAAGTGTCTATCTAAATATCAATACTAATATTCAAATATCTACATAAAGCCACCCCTTAGAAATACGATCACTTTACATACAAGTGTACAGTGTTAGATACGTAAACATATTGTGATCTATACAACCGACCACTCTATGGTTAAATTAATAGTGAGGTCGGTATGTGTACATCTTAGCTGAGCTTCACCTCTTCGTTTTATAACTCTATGGGCTACGACATTGGGTTTGCGCTACTCTCTCGTTTCAACTCTATTTGCCTGTAAAACATATTCTCAATATTTGGGTAACTTAGACTTCGCAGCTTTTATTAGGAAATCGTTAATCTTAATCGTTTGATCTCTATATTGGAGTAATTTTAGTTTGAAAATAAATGGTTGATCCCATATAGTTAAAGTAATCCCTGCAGGGTATCATTGCTTGATCTCAAGATTTCCAACCCAACAGAGCTGAACACTTTATTTATATTCTTTATACCGATCACATGATCTGAATATCCAATGTGGACAATTTTGATTTCTACCTAATCCGCCTTTTCCTCTCTTTTTAGATATCTCTATTGGATTTCTTAATAATGGCGCGCAAAAGTTTAAATTTCCCGGCTTCTGCATACACCACTCTGATTGATTAAATGTTATAAACTTCCGGGATCAAACAAAAGATTAAACTAATCATAAGATTAAAAAAAGTGGAGATTAAGCATCGATCTCGATATCCACAATTCTAAAGTTTTCAGCTACGTTCTGACTTCAGAGGTGGAAACGGAAATCAAGGTATCCTCGAATTTAAAGTGCCCTCAGTGAATATCGAGATCAAGCAATCTGGATCGAATATGGTTAGCAAACACAAAAGTTCCCAGCTCTTATCTGAAAACTTTAGAATGGTGGATATCAAGATTAATGCTTAAACTCCTGGTTTTACTAAACCCAAGATTATTCTAGATTCCAAGATTTAACCTATCAGCCTGTCGTTAAGATGTACTCTTTAACTTTTGAAAAATCGGTTTTGATTTCTGGTGTTCATGGTGTTATATCAATTGAACTGAATGTCGATTGAATGAACGTAAATTTTGGATTAATATTTATTAAGACTAAGGTTCCAAATGACAATAGTCCTAAAATATATATGTTTTTTTTAATAATTTCATATCAACATATGATCTTTATTTGTTAAAATGCTCTTTAAAGCCGGCTTGTGAACAGCTCACTTTAATTCAATCGGATATTAGTCCAATCGATATAGCATTGTATCTGTAAATGTTATCAAAAGTAACTTTTATACAGTAGAAATATCCAAAAAGAGGATTAAGAAGAAAATCAAA